TGTCATAGATAATCTCTTCTAACCAAATTACAAATCAAAAGTGTTTCAACATTTTGGTAATTTAAATAATCTACCAATTTACCATTTTGAAACTTGAATTCTATTTGTAATAATATTTTTGATCAAATTATTAAATATCATCTTTGATAACATTTGCTAACTTTATCATTTTCATTTCTTCCTCATAACAGAAATGTTTTCTTCTTTTTTTTATTTCTTATTAATATTATTTCATTTCATTCCATTCATTGAGCCAAACATGTTTTTGTGGATGAAAAAGGCGCCACACTGATTGATTTGCGCTTGAAAACTTATAAATGTAATATATTCAACGTCACACTAGGATTTAGTAGATTGAGAAAATAAAAATAAATTTAACTGTATTAAGATGAATTATTTTCATACTGATAAAATTATCAATTAGATAATAAATTTCGATTACAGTGCTAGAAAATAGGCATAAATTAAGATGAAATTTAGCTTAACTATCTTTACAATCAACTTTATCAATATTTTATCATTAAATTTTTGATTCATTTTCTTATAAAACTTACAAATAGATGGACAGTAAGCATTGCACGCTACTATTGTATGAACAACGTTGATCACACTTAGTAAACTAGATCAATTAAATCATTAACAGATTTAGAAATGCTAAATCTGTAAAGTGATAAAGTATTTCATGTTTTCATTTAAAATAACCCAATCGCTACCATAAGATTCAAATAATCCTATAAATTATATTACAGCGATGTTTGATGTCAATTCTGAACGATTATTTTCTTTCTAACGACAATTGATGACTAGATATTCATTGTTTCATGAAAAAAAAAAAAGAAAAGAAAAGAAAAGAACTAAGAGAAATTTGAGAGAAAAATAATTTAATTAATGACTTATTAATTACTTATTAATGACTAATTAATAATTAAAAAGCTGGAAATATCGCCGTATGACTGCATCCTATTTGCAGATTATTGTTAAAATCGTTCAAGATGATGTCACTGACTTGCTGAATTGGAGTGATAGCGATAATGGCGATAATGACGATGATGATAATGATGATGCTTGACAATGATGATGGTTGATGTTAATGATAATAATAACAATTAATAATAATAAAATAATAATAATAATATTTAATCCAAACTAGTTTTGATGTCAAAAACATTTCTGATTGTGAAGAATCCTAAAATTAAACAGTTGACCGTTATCACCAATTAGTATTTACTGAATATGCGAAATAAATAAGATAAAGGACTATAATAAACTATTTATGTTAAATTTAATCACTTAATCGTCAACATATAAATAAAAACTGTAAAGCTGAGACAAAAAGAAATTTCCATTTTTTTTTTTTTTTTTTTGAATAAAATTCGAATTTTATGATAATCATAGATACCTTTTCCTGTAGGCCATTCTTTTACGTTTTTATTTTATTCAGTTCTTTAGAGAAAGAAAGAGAAAAAAAAAAATTATATTATCGTATTTTAATCGATGAATAATTTGGGGCGAAAAGAGTTTTTTGATTTATGCTTACTAAAAGGATAATTGTTTTCTGCTTTTTTCATCGTATGGCTTTTTAAAAAAGTATTTAATGCATTTAAATTTTATATGATGAAAATCGTCCTGAAATTGATGATATTTAAATAGTGCAAACATTTAACATGCTGAAACTTTCACGGCAAATGTTTTATCATTTTTTTTTTTTTTTTAAGAAAGAAAGAAAAAAACAGTAGGAAAGAGAAAGTAAAAAAAAAAAAAACTTTTAGAAAATAATCACTTTTTTTTTGATTTTTAAAATTTATAATTAATCGAATTGAAATAAAACAACTAAATATTTTATGCGCATCTTATTATCATTTATATTTCCTAATTACTCTGTTTAGTTTGAAGTTTTCGTTGAAAATGGTATATAATTTGCAAACCAAAATAAGGATGCAAAAAAAAAAAAAAAAAATTTTTAGCTTTTTTATTACGATTTCTTATAAAAACAGAAAAAAAAGGAATGTATTTGAATTTTCATGAATCTTCTCAACTTTATAAAAGATTCTTTATAAATCATTTTTCTTCTTTTTTGTAGCAGAAATTTTTTTCCCAATTCATAAAGAAGCTCTGAATGACATTATGATGACATATAGTTGTTTGCTTGTTTACTAATTCAACAGTGTAATCGTATTATTTACATAAGGTGAATTTTGGATAGCATTAATTCTTCCATTGTTCAATCGTTGTACAATTATAACTTAGTCAATAATTTTATTTGTTAACTTCTTTAAAAAAAAAATAAGTGAAATAATATCTTGCCATAATGATAAACTTTAAGCTGAATGGATAAGGTAAATTCTCATTTTCTATATAACTTTGATTTTTTAATTATTGTCTAATAAATATATTCATAAATGAAGAAATAATAATTTTAGTCCTTCAATTTTCCCTCTTCTTCTTATTCTGACTCATTTATTTTTGTCCTTTCACCTTTCACCTTTTTCTTTTTTTTTTTTTTTTTCGAGTTTTTTAATTATTTGACTAAAAAAAAAAACTGGTAAGATGACGTGTAACAAGTTGTTTAATTATTTTTAATAACATCATTTAAATGCATTTTTCATCATTGTTAGTTGACGTAAATTAAGTACAATTCCTCTTTTTTTTTTTTTGGAAATTAATTTCCTTGTCATGAATAAACCAACATATGTAAACAATAACATATAACAATTAAATTAGTTAATAGTTAAATATCGGATAAAATAATTATTCAGCTTTGTTCAATACTTTTATAACAAAATTTTAACTTTTCATTCACTTCATTTTTATTTATGATTATTATTATTATTAATAAAAATAACAAGAATGCAAATAGCGACGATGATGATAATAGATGATGATAATCATTATGATTATCAATGTAAAGATGACGATAATAATAATGAGGTGTTCTTCTTATCTTGCATCTTTTTCATCAATTTGTTGATAATTTTTGTTATCAAAAAAAAAACATTATCATATCATTATCATTTCTAAAAGTGCAATTACTTCTCTAGCTGCTGCATGTCCTTATAAATAAATTTAAATCTAAAAATCTTTTAACTGCAATAATAAAACATTTATTCACACAGTTATTATACAGGAATGCATGGGAAGAAATTGTACTTATATATATATACATGAAATTATTGTAATGTTAGTAGCATTATTTATTAATTAATGTCTAATTAAATATTATTTATTAATATTAAATTAAATATTACTACTATTATTTCAAAACTTAATGCAAGTGCTGTATGTTAATAGTTAATATGAACATAATTTATCCTTTTGGTAATCTCGAACTGAGGTCTCTTTTTAAAATAAGCATTTTGAAAATTTATGTTAATAATTTATTTTTCAACTAAATGATTATTTGCAATGAAACATAATGATGCATTAATTTAACTCATCAAATCAAATTTTATTCTTTTTTCTGCTTTCATTTTATGCTTATATATTATATTAGCATATATGTGAATACACATTCCAAAGGTTAATGAGTAATTGAAATTAACTGGTTAGATAACACAAATGTGATATATGAGATGACATGTCACTAGGAAAACTTATTGGTTGCAACTTTTTTAAATGCAAAATCAATAATGCTTACATCACTAGCATGTGAACAGCTTTATTCAATTTTCCACTTATCGCTACTTCTTAAATTGGTTGAGAATATGTATCTTCTTCAACTTTTACTTCCAATACTTTGCTATTTACTATTATATCACTGCTCCGATTACTACTATTACTACTTCTGGTAGTTAGTATTAGATTCATGAGTTATAAGTTAAGGTTATAATTAAAATTAATATGGTGATAATATAACTATGATTGATAAATGAGATACGAAGCATTACGATGATAAAAATTCTTTTAACACAAAGATGATAAAGAATTATCAGTAATGATTATGATTTAAATAATTTCAAGAATGTTGATTTTTCACATTACTTTATTATGTTTTTTTTTTCTCTTCTTTTAAAGAAAAATTTTTTTTCTGCTTAATCATATTTTTTGCACTTTTCTCGTTTTAAAATGTTTTATTAGTCAAATAAAATTAATAAAACAAACAAATGTTTTACTTTGGATTATTTCAAAAAACACTTCTTTAATATTTGTTCAAGAAACGCAATTTATTATCAAAATTTAAATTAGTTGATATTATTTAATAATGTCAACTTACTCATTTATTTAAACAAACATTGCCATTGTTTTTTTTTTTTTTTTTCATCCTAAATGAAGCACTGTAATATTGGAATATCTTTTCAAACTCCAACAATTATTGCGCATTGTTTTAATTTTATTTTAGATGCCTAGTTGCAATATTACAATATATATGTTTGCTATCAGTGTTAGCATTAATTGAAAAATTAAATAAGCGGAAATTCTAAATTACGAATAATCTTTTAAGCATTTTTTACTTATCTCGCTTTCCTTCAATTTCAGCTTTTCCTCTAATTCGCATCTTTTAATTGCTCATATAATTTTTTTTTTTTTTTTGATTTCAATTAAGTTAAAAATAGTAATTCATCAACAAATTTTTCTCCTTTTAAATCTTTTACAATCGTCTTTCTACTTCTATTTTCCGTTTTTTAAACTTCTTGTTTTTTTTTTTTTTTTTTTTTTTTTTTTCAGCAATATTTTAAACGCCATTTATTTACTGTTTTAAAATTTCACTCAGTATTTTCAAAATTTAAACTTGAAAGTATAAGCTTATTTAATCAACTTTATTGATTATTTTATATGCATTTTTTTTGGGTGCTGGTCATGTTGGCTTACTAACTTTTATAAATTATTTAAAATAAAACGAAAATTATAATTCATTGCTTACCGTTTCTTAGCTCTATATTTCATTAATATTTTGAAATAATTAATATATAAATATAAATTCATGTATTGTATTTTAATTACAGAGTATTTATTAATTGATTTCGACAAAAATTTTCTGATTTTTTTTTATTGAAACATTAATAATGAATGGAGAAATTATGCATGCAGCGTTTATTGATGCTGAAGAAATTAATGGCCCAGTAACTGATCCGATGCCTAAAACGATTCAATTTAATGAATCTTGCGAAAATTATCGTTGTCTTTGTAATTGTTTTCACATAAAAACTGGAGCTCTTATTGTTGCTGGTAAATTTTTTTCTTTTTTTTTTTTTTTAAATTTATATAAATCGTAAGGATAAATTATAATAAGAAATGAATTTGACAAAAAATAATGTGTTATTAAAATATTAAAATGTGATTAAGTTGAAAGTAATTTAAATATGGAATAAACAGTGGATAATTGAATAATAAATATAATAATTTTAAGAAAAAAAAAATTATTTTCTTATAATGAAGTAAAATGCTGAGTTATTTCAATCGCAATTAATATTTCAATAAATATTGATAATGTGATAAATTAGAAGGTATTGTTGCATACACCTTTTTTTTTTTTTTTTTTTGAAATTTGGAATAGTTTGATTATTATTACAAATACTGAACATTTTGAGTCTAAATATGAACATAATATAAAAAACATTTGTAAATTTATCTTTTAAAAAAAAGAAAAAGCTATTAGTTTTAGCAAAAGAAATTAAATAACAGTTTTAAGAAGAAAAGTATAACATAGTTTAAATGCAATAGCTAAAAAAAAAAAACAAAAAATTTGCTTAATTTGGATCTTTTTTTTTTTTTTTTTTTTTTGCATTTTATCTATTAAAACTTAGTTCTACAACAATCCAACAAAATACTTCAAACTTTATCAAAATATTTCAGGTACCGAACTTTTAATGCTGTTAATATTTCTCATTAATTCGCTATTTATAATTGCAGAGCATGATACTGAATATGAAAAAATTACAGGTCGAATATTTTTTTCTCAACTCCAAATTTTTATTTTAAATTAATTCTTATTATTATTATTATGTATTAATTACAGGTGCGTGTGATAGTTATGTGATGCAATCATCTTTTGTATCAATGATATGCATTGCTATTAGCTTTTTAGCAGTTCTTTTACTTTTTGTTGGACTAATTCGTAACATTGCTGCATTCTTAATACCTCATCTTATTGTACAGGCAAGTTGATCTTTTTTTTTATCATAGATTAAAAAAAATAAAAAATTCATTCAAACTGTTTCTTTTTTAATTCTTAATCATTAAATTTAAGAAATTATATCCCAAATTAGAATTTAAAAATTGGAGATAACATTAAAATTCACAAATTTAATGCACAATTTGTTACAAATTGTCAATAATTGAATGTTTTATTTATAGATAATTGTTGTATTAATACTTGCATTTGGCTTAACATGTGGTATCATTGCATTTTCCACTAATATAACAATATTTTATCGATTGATGAATGCGGCATCATTTAAGGAGTATCCCGGTACCTCCACTGTTGCATTGGATGCTGAAATTACCGCTCGATTTATCACTATTTTCATTCTTTACCTTATTTGTCTTATATTACAGGTAATTTAATATAATAATCATTTTGTATTGATTTATTATTTGGCTCATTTTTAAAAAAAAAAAACATTGTTTAAAAAAATAAGAAAAAAAACGTAGAAAATTGATCAAATATGGATTAAATTTGTCATTAAATCTAAAATATAAGATGGAAATGCATAAATTTTATTGCTAGAAAAGAATTAATAAAATGAAACTAATTATTGTAAAGATTTTTAACTATATGATAAGTAATAAGAATTCTTTTTTCCTAATTTATTCAATCATTTAAAAATTAAAGTTTAAAAATTTTCTTTTTCAGTGCTGGTATTTAATGATTATTCATAACTGTTATCGTTATTTGAAGGAACGATGTCGATATATGCATTATTGTCTTACATTCACTACACCAATGCAAACACTCATCTTTCGATGATAACTGTTAGTTAAACTGATAACTGATAACTGATATATAGGAGAATTACGTATGTATAATAGTTAACAAATATGAATAGAATGAAATGGATAATTTGAAAACAGATGCTTGAAGACAATCGCTTAAATGAATAGTTTAAAAAATCTATAACAATTTAAAAGAGAAAGCTGAGAGTGATAATTTGCAAGGATTCGTCTCGCCTATCATTACCATACATTAAACAAGCTTATATTTTTTTAGAACTTTCTATCTTCTCTTTATCATTTTGGCCTGATTCAGTTATATCATAGCATCACTGAGAAGTACATTAAGGTTATTAGTCATAAAAATTTCAACAAATTAGTTATCTCTTCGAATATTGATAAACTGTCCTTCAAATTACCATGTATTTGACGATTTTTGTCTCCTTGTGACTTTTTTCTTTCTTTTATTGCACACTAATCGAAATAAAGCATTACTTAATTGTATCAGATTACGTTACAGCACGAAATTGTCTTGTATTCGCTTATATATGAGTCTAATTGGATTAAGCGATTAGCAAAGTTTTAAAAGCAATAAACCATTTAGCTAGTTTTTGTTGTTTTTTAAATTTTCAAGATCAAATTTCACTGTTTAAGGAAATAATTAAATGAATTTTCATTCTAAAACTTTATTACTTTTTAATATTAAAGTTACTCATTTTCACGAAACAAAAAAAGTGACAAAAAGTAAAATTAACAGATGCTTATAATCATCAACCACCTGATCAGTTATTCATCTCACTGCTCAAATATAAATGAAATGACATATACATTTATATATATATACATATACAAGAACCTGATATCAAAAGCTAAATACTTGTACGTGAATATCTTATTAGAAAACGAAACCATGAAAATAATGCATAATATTATTAATACTAATAGCTTTTTTCAGTCCCTTGAAAATAAGTACATTAATTTAGAAATACAAAGTTGATTGGAATTTTGTCAGTGTTAGATGAAAGCTATCGATAACTATTGGAACATTGCCAACATGATGGTTCGATTTTATAAGTGAATGAAATGAATGAAAGTGAAAATTAATATAACTCTCAAAATGATTAAAAAAAAATAAAAATCTCGAAAGCAATTTCAAACATGCCTTAATGAAACTGTTAAAGAAATGAGAAATTATTCGGCTAAAGTTAGTTGAGTTTCATAGTTTACTTAGCCTAGATTAACAAAAATTGAAGTTCATTTCTCATGTGCTAACAATTTTTCACATATTCTTCTGAAGCTTTACTTACTTACTTTTAATATGTGAACAACTATTTGTTAGGACCACCATATGACACAGATGGATATTACTAAATAAGAGGATAGTTATAGACACACTGGTGTGCAATTATTGGAGTCACCATTTAATGGCAACAATATGAAAAATAATGTGCAGAAAAAAAAAAAGTTTTCTGGATAGATTACATCATTAGTCTGAAAATTTATCCAAAAAAAAAAAAAAAAAACCGGTAGTGTAGAATTATCAATTTACAGAAAATCTTTATAAGCACTTGCACTGAATCATTTTAATGATTGTCAGTACTAATTTTCATTTAACTTCAATCACCAATTGTTACACCTCGGAACATTTGCCCCATTGACTCGTTGTGATAAATTCGTCGGATTGCTTCGCATAACACCGATGATATGTCAACTGTTTTAATTTTATGACAGCGCAGCTTCTGTACATCATGGGGTACTGTGTTTGTTACAATTACCTGAATTTTATTTCATGGAAATGAATGATGAAATGTAGTGGATAAATTAAATGAATAAATAATAAGCAATAGAATGACATTTTCATATTACATCACTTTTATATAGTATATCTACTAGATTGGTTTAAATTATGTTACAATATGTGCCAGATATTATCAAATAAATTGGTTTCCTTAATACCCATAAATACTGCTCCCCTTTTTATCACTTCTGATAAGCTAGCTATCTAATAATTTAAAATCTGTTTACTATCTTGGCTGAATCATTTACACAACAGTCTATTGTCCAACATTCAAACTAATTCTGTTACCATTACTTCAGGATCATTAAAAAAAATCAATAAAGAAACATTGTGGATGTTATTTATTTCATGGAATTCTGGAAAAAAGATATAAAACACTAAACTTTATTTCAACTACCTAATAAATGAATAAGGAACAATTACATGAACAATTACAAAATTTACCTCAGTAATGGGTGAAGATTCAAGAAGATCAGGAGCATCTGCTGATAATAATCCATGTGTAGCTATGACATAAATTTTATAAGCACCATGATTTTTTAACACTTGCGCAACAGCGACGAAAGATTGCGCATCATCGATCATATCATCCTACAAATGAATATGAACAATTTCTAGAAAGCATTCACATTTGATTTCTTGTTAAAACTAAACTCATTTTACAACTAAATGATTATTGCATGCAATAAAAGAAGAGATACTCAAGTCGTCGAAACTTACCACCATAATTGCTATACGTCCACCTACATCACCAACAACTGTTAGTGGAGGTTTTTCTTTTGCAACTTGAGCTAAAATATGTCATGAAGAGTTGGAAATATGAATCATCACGATCAAAGCTTTAAACAAAAGTTGCATCACAAAGCATCTAAAGAAAACAGCAGAGAACACTTTAAATGCGCCTCATATCTAGGAATTTTGGATTTTACAAAAACTAAAGTGCATGACTATCTATTAATTTCTCCCGTGGACTTCATATGTCTCGATACGAATTTCAACTCATACGGCAAATTCTCTACTTTGCTAAACCTTCAGCACTGTTTGAGAGAAGCAATAGTAAATCGTGAATGTGAATTATTAAGCAAGATTTGATATTAAACGACGAAAGTAGTTGAATAACTCTTTGGTTGAAAAACTTATTTAATATTGTTTCGTGTCAAAAAGAAACGCTACCTGGAAACATCTCAAAAGCGGTGAGATTTTCGTTTGGCTTACCATCCAGCGGTGGACTTTGTCGTCCATCCTCTAAACCACTTTCTTCAACATCTTTCTGTTCACCGTGTATGACAGCAACACCTGAAATTTTGTTTAAAACTGAAGAAAACAGACAGAAGTTTCTCGGAGATAAACGCAAATCTCTGTTTGCCAAGTTTTTCGAAATAACAAAAAAAAGTGCTGGTGGAAACTTCTAAAACCTCATGTAATATGTAGCGATTTTCGAAAATGAGTGACTGAGATGATGCGGTTTTTTGAAACGTTGTCTTATACAAAATGATCAAATAATGAAAAGAAAAAGAAAATATTTAATATAATAATCGTTACTTAAGATAATATCGGAAGTTTTAGAAGTAACTGCTAAAAATAGTTAAGGAATAATCTTTACAACAGATAAAATAATCATTTGGAAACGAAAGATTTTTCCAGAAGTTACAGAAACTGCAGAATTGGAAAGTGCACAAGACATGTGAAAACTTTTCATAGCATGCATGCTTATCATGCAAGATCAAAATATATATATATATATATATAAGCACAAGCAGTTTGCTCAATGACATAATGTAGTTTTAGTGCAATACGTGAAACCATAACAAACTAAACCATTGAATTCACTATACTTTTTCAACAATTTTGATAATAATATTGTGCTAAATTTATTTGTAAACGTTCTGAACTACCCATTTATCACAAATTTTCAATGATTATGAACTACCCATGTTTTCAATATGATCATGAATTACCCTAATACTCTGAATTTCGATCCCCAAATTTCTTCAAACTCCAATTATGTGGTTTTTCCATAGATGATATCTTTCTATCAGTTTGCATTTTAGTGCTAAAACTATATCAGTTTGCATTTTGTCGATTAGTTATAAGGTTCTAATTTTATACGTAAGCCTAACAATCTCTGTTAGTGTTAATATTAATGCTTTGATTCCAATTTGAAGGAGTAACGACGTCAGCTAAATTAGTCAGACCTCTATATTTCGTCTATCACACAGTGAATTTTTATATCAATTTGTTTCAATCCACCACACAACAATCATACAAACCTCTTGCTTCTGTAGACGAAAGCATGGAAAATATTTCTAAAGTTAATAACGAAAATACTGAAATTTGCATTAAAACTATGACCTGAGCTTTTCAGCGCAATATGTATGTTACCAGAACTAAAGAAGGGATATCAAAATAGGGAAAAAACCCACAATCAGATATTTTAGATTCATGTATACTGAGGTTCGTCTACAGCTTTCTAAGCTATGCGAAGTAATGAGAATTTCAACTTTTAAAATCAGAATAGTTTTGAGGTAATCGGTTGAACGAATAATTAAGCTGAACTGTTAAAAATAAGACATAAAATGAATCTTGCTATCAATTCATAAAAAGCTCAAGGCTCCCAAAAACTTTTCTCTATAACGCTATGTTCTGAAAAGTTAAGCACCTGTCAACAAATTTTAAGAAACTTCAAACAACAGGAAAATTATACATATTAATTGCAAACTATTAATCACCTTAAGAAAGAGCTTGATGGATTAAATGTATATCATTCATGTGGTTGACATTGACCGCATCGTTTAGAGCTACTTAAAATTTAGGTATTCCCAGTTATGATGGATCCCGGATCCCTTTATCTCATTGATGGCTTATCCAAATTTTGTTTTAAATTCAAAATTTACTGAAATAAAAGTGACAACCAGAACAATATGATATATTTACCTAATCTCAGTCGATCTGCGTAGGATGTTGCTTTATTCATAACGCCGGGATTCTTTGCAACTATCACAGCATTTTTATAATCCGGTATCTAAATCTTCTGATTTTGAACAACGAAATAATGCATAAATTCATTAATATGAAATTGAGTTGAAGGAAAATATAATCAATTTATAAAAGTAAGAAAAAGTTTCGAAAAAAATACCAACATTCTCTTTTATGTACTGTAATAAAAAAGGCGAAGCACGCAAATTATCAACAGGTACTGAAAAGAATCCTTGGATTTCCTTTCTGTACAAATCGAGAGAAACTATTCGTGTCGCTCCTGAAATCTCTTTTTGTCATCATTAAACAAGCATTAACATTTGTATTAACCAAATTCAGTGATCTTCACAAACTATAAACCAATTATTTTCTCAAACGGAAGAAAAAACAAAGAGAAAATAGAATAATAACCAGCATTGCACATCATATCAGCGATAAGCTTCATTGGTATGGACGATCGGCGTAACATTCGACACTGTTTGCTATAAGGCAGATATGGCATCACTACTGTTATCGTTTTTGCCATTGAAGTTTTACATGCATATATTAATATCATCAGTTCCATGATGTTATTATTCACATCTCTGAAATTTCATCAGTTAGTTTAAAAAAAAAAAAAAAAAAAAGACTAACTGTTGACAACTTAACTAACCAATGAAATGAACGGAACAAAGGTCTGAAAGATATAAAATGTTCTGGTTTATATCAATATTGATCTAAAGTGAAGTTGCATGCTGTACTAACAGTTATTTTCCATATTTAATCAGATACGTATCTCTAATTCGCTACAGACAAAGTTATTTTTCCATGGTTTTAATCAGATACGTATCTCTAATTCGCTCTAATTTTACAACAATAAGCGAATTATTAACTTACTTTGAACCAGACTGAAGAATGAATACATGTTTTCCCCGAACACTCTGTTTAATTTCAACTGAAGTTTCACGATTTGTTCTATTGTAAATAATCGCTTCTCCAAGCTTAATTCCCAAGCGCCTGCAAAATTATTTGTATTTGCCTTAAATTAATGCAATCTTCAAAACACAAGAGAAAAATTCACAACAGAACAAACATACTCTGCAACTAGTCTTGCTAATTCCAAATGGGAATTCCCGGCTAACAATACCATGCCAGTACTTTGATCAGTAAAGTACCGAGCCGACATTTCTCAAAAATCTAAAAAGAATAAAAATGATTTAGCACTAAGTGGTGAAAAATTCACAGCCATTCATAGCGTATTATATTAAAATTGATGAAAGTGAAAGACAAACGCTACCACATTTATTCGTAAGTTATGCTGTATTTATTTAGATTCCTAGCACTTCAAAAACTATAATTATCTTAAAAAACTATAATTACTTATTGTCAACTAAGAGTTTGTTCAAATGAATACGAGATAGAAGGAAAGCAATACTACAATGAAATATTTTATGGATGCAACCAAAGTTTTATTGTAAATTCTTACAAAACCTTAATTTCAATTAGATCTTATAAACTTCTTCATCTACATTTTACGACATGACTAAAATCCCGAAGAAAAAAAAGAATGAATTGCTGCTGAGACCAAATTTTTCATAAAACTTCATGTTTTTTTTTCATTCTCTTCTTACCGATACTTTTTGTTTGAATATTAGTTTTAAATGAATTGTTTTTAAGCACATCAGAATTTTTAATACTTTTTTCTACTGTGTACAAAAAAAATAAAAAAAAAAGAAGAGAGAAGGAAACTGATGGGGAACCAGCAACCTTGATGTAATAATTCCAGAAAACTACTCAAACCTTACACCCACAATAACTTAAATATCCCGAAAAAGTCAACAGTTTAATTCCTTCGCATGAACTATCTATATGATCACTAAATACTTAATGCGGAAGCTGTCGAGAAGCTTAATTCTGCGGTTTCACTAAATACTTGATGCGGAAGATAACTTGACATTCGTTCATCCTGAAAATGCATCTTCAATAGAATTATTAGATTAATTAAGCCTGATCATTACGAGTGAAAAATAATTGAAAAAGATAATAAAAAAAAAAAAAAATAATTTCTCTCACTTTTCTCCATTTCTTCAAAAATCTTACTTTATTTCTCAAAATTACACCTCAGTATTCTCTGTCATTTTACCTTACACTCTTTTCTTATTCGCCCACTTAAACTCACAGAATTTCCCTACAATCTGTGATAAAATTTTTAAGTCCAATTTTCTTTCACTCACTTCTTCTAGCAATTCCATCTTATGTAAGAACTTATCGTAAGAATTACTGAGCTAAAAAAAAAATTTATTAAAAAAAAATTAATAATGTAAAATAACTCCACATATACCTTCCCAATTGATAATGTTAAATAAGATGTGAGCAAATAAACAATAGATGAAAAGGTCAACAATCATATTACATACATTGTATGATCTAAAAATGTATGAAAAAGGTAACTGTTAAGTCAATTTATAATCTAACAATTATCAAAAAGAGAAAAAATTCTTCCAAGTTGTTACTTTTCAAAACATACCTTTAAACGGTGTTAATCATATGGAATCTTACTGTCTTATGTCATTCATCTTTTTATCCTTAAAATGTTACTTAAATAAGCTTCGCTAACAGTAGCAATTTATATGATGATAACAATTTGCAAAACTACTGATAATAGAAGTCAGAAATGATGATGGAGTATAGTTGCAATTTTCATTGCGATGCCAAATTAATACGGTCGGTGACAGCATCGTTATCATCCAGCGAGATTTCAACCATCATCCTTGCAATCCGCTTACTCCTACTCCTACTATTACTACTTCTACTTCTAGTATTACTACTTCCACTGCTGCTTATCTTTGTAATTTACTTAACATTACTTTATATAGTATATAGCTTTTTTACAAGTCTACCTATTCAAGCTAACAAATTATTTGCCATAAATAATAATATGGATAGTGAACAATTCAATTTGACACTTTTATATTAGCATAAGTTATTGGCTCAGTATTTCATTCCTGCATTTATCTTCATCTTTATATTGTTATTGTGTGATTATAAGAGCTAAAAGATAAATGAAATATATACGAATAGAAAACTTACATTCAATCATACTTTCTTATAACTTCCTCAAACATTAAACGTTTATTTTTTCATGTATTTTCTTTTTTCATTTTCCCAGCTAATTTCATAATTTTTCTCTAACTTATAATGAAATAAGTTAGAGAAAAAGAGGAAAAAAAGAATAAGAAAGAGAAAGAAAAAAATCAAAAAAGAACACCGAACACTCCTGAAAAACGGTACGCAAATCCGGTAAATATTATTATTTGTTCTGCAATTACACATATCGCGTAATACTGACTGTATAAAAGAGAGTGGGAATGAGAAAAGAGAGGAAGAAAAGAAGAAAGAGAATGTGAGGTTATTGATAAGTGTATATACACTATTGTAATTGTACAAAAGGCAATTAGACGAGAAAATAGTGTAATAATTTGATAGAAGATAAGGTTGGGATTAAAAAAAAAAAAACTGAAAGTTCGAGAAGGTATGAAATTGGGAAGAGTAACAGATTAGAAAGGATGAAGAAGTAAGAAAAAAAAGTGAAAATGTAAGTAATGAGAAAGGAAAGAAAATATTCAGAGAGCTAGTGATGGTAAATGATAAAATGATGAATGTTTACGAATGGTTGAACCGCCTGTCATTAGAGTAAAGCAGTGATATAATTTTTGATGATTCATTGCTACTTAAATTCATTCCTGAATTACCGATGTTAGTATATGGTTGCTTTTGATTGAGTGTGAAATTTTTGGTTAGAATTTTTATTGCTTTTTAGACTTATTTTATATCTGTAATATTACTAATATAACTTTTCTGATGTATTTTTTTTTTTCAGTTTAAAAAGTTAAATATATATTACAGATTATTACCTGTATAGTAATTAGGTAATAAGATTTATGCATACTTGTTTTTAATAACTTTCCTGAAAGTGCACTATAAAAGACAGATGATATGTTGAATAGTATTTTCAAAAAATAGATGAATAAATAATAAGTAAATATAATAAATAAAGTAAATAGCGAATAACAATGATGTTCAATACATATTGTATTGCGTTATTATTATATTCCGATTTTTTGATTGAATACGATTAATTATTCGGTATATTACCTTTTTCAATTGAAATAATCAACAAATGTATCGATTTTGAAACCAATAAAATTTACACTTATCTTTCATGCTTATTTTAATGCTAATCAAAATTGCGCATGAAATAATAACTTAATGTTTTTCATGATGCTTTTTCAAGCTATCAAAGTGATTTAACCGGCAATCAGTTTTATTTCGAAACGTTTCCACTTTAAACGTGTGCACAATTTGTATTAATAAATAATCCATCTAATTTTGTCTTAAAGAAGAAGGAAAAAAAAAAAAAAAAGCAAGGAAATAATTTACATGTGGTGAAATCGATTTGTTAATAATTTTCCTGCATTGCATCAAAAGTAATTAAACAAATTTCGCTTTTGCTCTTCATCCTAATCAAGTCGTTCTTCACCGAACTCAACATCAGTACTCGTCAATTACCGAAATGCATCCACTAAAATTTAATTCGAGACGTACTGAAATAAAATAAACATTAATGAATGAATGTAAAATAAATGTGCCAACAAATGTATTTATCATTGTTAAAAGTTTATAAATTTTTCTGGTAAATATTTTTTCTGAATTAAAAAAATAATTGAAAATCTCCTTTTCGGATTGTATTTCTCTTTTATCTTACAAAATGTTAATTAACAATGATATTTATATATAAACAATACATGGTGTGTATATTAATCTTATCACTTATCATGTTAAATAGCTCTTATATGTATTATAATTATGATATTAATGAGAATTGATTGTTTCTTCTTTTCTATTTTTCCTTTTGTTTTTTGCAGCAGTAATCACTGTTAATAATGTCAGTGAATACATCAAATACACCTGATGGGCGTGGAGTATTGATCTACAATGGTGAAATGTTCGTTTTTATAACTTTTCTCATGCAAATTTGCATATGCAAAAATGAATGTGATAAGACAATAAGATGTATTACACATATCATATGCAAATAGCTGGCGATTGGCTTCATCATTTCGTCTGATTTTAATTTTTCTTTTTTTGTTTAATAATTATTTGTTTGTTTAAAGGATATTAGTGTACACGGATGAAGTGAACTGTCATTTTGAGAATATACCGAGTAATATTTTCAAAGGAAATAAATCCGGAAATTTATATCTGACCAGTCATCGTGTACGGTCTTTCTTTTTTTTTAGTTTCTTTTTTACTTTTTTTTTAAAAAAACATTTATGGATTTGTTGTTTTAGATTATTTTTCAATTTATAGATTTATTGTTTCAGATCATTTTTATTAATCGAAAAAATGATTCACTGCGTTCATTTTCGATTCCATTCCATTGCATGAAAGATTTGAAGCTTGAACAACCAGTTTTTGGGGCCAATTTTTTAAAGGGTGTTGCTATAGCCCAACCCGGTGGTGAATATTTCATAAATTTTAACTTTCTCATGTGAATTGTTTTTTTTTTTTTTTTTTTTTTTTTGCTACAGGTAATACTGACTTAATTCTCCACAAGGTGAAAAACTTTTCTAGGTAATTGGAATGGACAAGTAACTTGGAAATTAACATTCAGCAAAGGAGGATGTATTGACTTTGGAATGGCATTATTAAAAGCTGTTGATATGGGTTTGTTTCCTATCCAAAAATAAGATATAACTTCTAACTTTCTGTAGGAAGTAATTACTTATCATCTGCAGCCCAGCGTTTTCGTCCATACGGTGCACCACCAGCTTATGCTCCTCCACCTGGAAATTATTTTGCTGCACCACCAACATATTATATACCTCCAGGAGGAAATTATAATGGTTTTCAAGCACCAACGAATGTTTTTCCTAATCATCCACCAGGTAATCCTTTGGATAAATTCTTTATACTAAGATATACAGTTTTTTTTTTTCTTCATTATAGCAAGTAATTAGTTTCAAGATTTGTAAAACAGAGAAGTTTTCGCTATTGTAGTTCTTTTCTTTTGAGTAGTAAATAATACAGCTAGCAGCATTCAAGTATTAGAAATATATTTAATAAATGTATATTGTTGAATTAACTCTTCAAAATTTTCATTGTTTAGCTGGTGATGTTTATATGTACGAAGCTCCACCGCCATATTCGGGTATTGGTCCAGATCCATCAGCGATACCAGCAGGAGGACAGGTACATAACTCTGGAATTGGACCAAATGCTCCATCCCAGCAACCGATGTATGCACCGCCGCTTCCGACTAAAAGTTAGACAATTACTAACTGTTCCAGTGAACATGGCTTTTCAATATTCTAATCATTTTATCCATTTTCTTCGTTCATTTGGTTATTATTTTGATATAAGCATCATATTTTACATGCCCTGTATTATTCCAAACGTTTTACTATTTCTTTCAGATTTCTGGAGTTTTCTTTAGCTTTCCTTGTCGTATTTTATGGTTTTTCACCACTTTTCACTTCATATGACATTTTGTGTAATCCCTAATTTTTAAACTCAGTGTTCAGACTTCGTGAATAGTTCTTTTGTCATTCCGTATTATCATTATTGATTGCCAACTGTACTAAAATTTAGTTTTGGTGTTTGCAACAATACTGACTGTGTATTTATATTATAAATTGTTTGTATCTGCAATAAACATTAAAATTTGGACTTCTTCTTACTTCTTGTTACAGGTTTATGCCATCATTTCTTCTCATATTTTTTAGTTTTAATTAGAATTGTTGCATTGTGTTTGAAATATGATATTTGGATTGTTTTCCAAATTGCAGTTTTTTTCAACTATCTAAGGTGCTGTTTAGTTATTCGTGGATATGAAAGTTTGAAGGTTGTGGTTTTTTAAATAATTTTAGGTCTTCTCAGTACTCATCGCTTATGCAACATTTTTACAAACGATACTTGCTATCTCATTTGCAAGTTTAATTGTTTCATTTTTTGTTGTTTCGTTTCTTTCTTTTTAGTCTCATGAAATGTTCCAACTGTTCTAGACACAGTATTAGCAATGCATTCAATGTCGATGTCCTTTGGTAGCGATCAACAAGAGACAGGTGTAACTGATGGAAATTTCATTGCTAATAGTAATATCATTATTTCTGATTATGATCAGGTTTGACTTTTCAGTATTTTTGAAGATAAAATTTTAAAGAACTGTATTCATTTATAAGAACGATGTGGAATGCTTATGAGATTAATAATAATAATAATAATAATAATAATAATAATAATAATAATAATAATAATAATAATAAATATAAATAATAGATAACAAACAATAAATTATAAATAAAATGATAGTAATGAATAATAAATAATTAAAAATAATGAATAATAAATACATAATAAAAAATAATAAATGATAAAAAATAAATAATAAATCATAAATAATTAATGAACAATAATAAATAAATAATAAAAAATAGTAAATTATAAATCACAGTAATAAATCAGAAATAATAAAAAAGAAAAAAGAAATAATAAATAAGTAATAAATGACAAATAAATAAATAATAAATAATAATAAATAATAAGTAATAAATACTAAATAAATAATTGATAATTAATTGATAATATTAAATGCTAGAAAATAATAATAATACTATTATTTTAATAGTCAGTACTAGTCCAAAATTATTTTCCCATTGTCAGTTAATGATAATTTAAATTTATATTTTAAAATATTCTTTAAGCTATTCATTATATTTTATAATAAAAATTCGTTATATACAATATATATTGTATATATAATGTTGGATTATATTTTTTATTAGACCAAGAAGTTTGAAGTAATATTTCAGTCCTGCCAAAATGGTATGCTTAACAATGTAGCTGTTGAAGAGAATAAAATGAACGATACAGGTAGTTACCAAACGGTTTATTCAGGTTTGCTTTTTGTTACAGCTTTATCATTATTAATTATAATGACTTTATTCTTATTGTAAATCATTGTTATTGCTGATTGGCTGTCAGATTTTCCATATTATAGTTTTTTTTTTTTTTGTTTTACAATATAAACTTATATGATTTATATCATCTTCATAATTTTTGTCATTCGAAAACATTTTCAGCAAATTATTAATTATATAACTGTATAAATGGTTTAAAATTAAATTCATAGTAGTAATACATAGTAAAATATAAGAATGAGACTGAAGATAAGAGCTTCTTGAAGATTGCTTTTTACCAACAATTTAACCTTTTTCTCAAATTTTATGTAACACCTAATATATCGCTATTATTTACTACTAACTTGAACGATATTTTTTAATTTTTTAATCAATTTAATGAAACCATTGTATTAATACGTCCCCAATCCTTTATTCTTTTTAAATTAAAGTCGATAATTTTTTTTTTTTATTTGTATTTATAAACAGTTAAAAAAATGTTTTTCATGGTATCGATTGTGATAATTTCGTGTCTAAAATGTTTTTTTTTTTCTAGAATATCAATCATTAGTTGGAAGTTCAGGAGGTATGACAATGTCAACTATTCCACCTGCTTCTACACCAACTTCTTATCAACAATTAAATCAGGTTCATTTTAATCTTTGTCAAAATTTGTCAAAATAATCAAATGTTCGGTTAGACTACAGCATGTTTATTAACATTTATATTTATAAATTATGCTTCTTTAATTGCTACATTTAGTTAGTGATAATATTTTTAATAACTGTTTAGAAAGCATTTTTACTGAAAAAATATCAAGTCTTGAAAATTGGACAACATTAAAAGCACTTAAAATCATATTATACTTTTCGATAATTTTAGATGTCACCGCAGTCAACAGCTGCATCAGCTAGTCAATTCGATCATATTACAGTTATGACAAATTTACAACAATCATCTGATTTATACACCGGAATTCCTGTATCTTCAGTTTCTAATGGTTAGTGCAAAATCTTTTTCCTTTTTTGCCAATTTTATCATTGCATCATTTTTACCTGATTTTCAAAATTTTTTTAAAATGAATTTAATATATGATATAATCTTCCTCTTTCAGGAATAGCATATACCATTCCTAATTCAGCAAATACCGCTGCACTTCAAATTTATCCTCCATCAGCAATAACGCAGCAAGTACAGCAGTCAGTTCCAGCGCTTAATGCAATGCCTCCAACACTAATGCAAAATCGACCAGATTATGGCATGCAGCGCTTGCAAACATCCCGCGCCAGTAATAGTCGCACAAAAACGTATATAAATTATTAAATTTTTTGAACTATCAAAGTTTCATTGTTGTAATGATCAAACTCTAGCATTATCTGCAACTTATCACTTAATCATTTCATTCGTTATTATTCTATTTGCTTATTTTATTTCAGGATATATCCATCCTTATTACCAGTAACTGGACGTGGTTCCAATCGTCAGATTAGTAATATATCCGTTGTCAGTGATGATGGACCAACTGTACGACAACACTTACAACAGCAACACCGAGCACGACTGCAACAGCAGTTAGCATTACAAGAAAAGGCAAAAATGGATAAGGTTTAGTTTTAGACAGCAAAACTAATTACTTCATCATCATATCGTCATATCGTTCTGACGATTCCAGAATGATATGATTATCACTAAATAATCAGATTCTGTAAGTGGTAATTTCGCTAATCTCTACCAGAATGACCATTGGTTTTTTTATAAGCTTAGTGATTCGATGAGTAATAAAGTGAACATGACATTTCATGAGAAAGATTCACGATACTGGACATTTACCTGTTTTGTTTACCGTATCTTCTAGTTAATCTTACATTATGCTGGACTTTTAACTTCTCTTTAAAATCACAATATGTCGAAAGTTTCTTTATAATTTTAAATTTCGTCATAGAAACTTTTACCGTAATTTTTTTTTTTAAGAAAAAATTGCTCATTTTCATTTTTGCAGGACGATTTAATGACTGAATATTCGGGTATGGTATCACCTGCCGTTGATAAGATGTTACCGGTATCTACCATTATGAATTTACCAGCTACGGGTTCAGCAAATATGCTTGTATCAACACCGATGAATATGCTAGCAACACCTTCATTACCAACTTCTTCAATGAATATACCTGTATCACCATCGATGAATATACCTGCTTCACCATCCACAAATGTACCTACATCACCATCGATGAATATACCTCCGTCGCCTTCCATGAATAATTCTCGGATTTCCCAGATGCCACGGCAACAATACCTTCCTCGTTTAGCTGCTCAGAAACCACGAATTATGACAGATCGTATTCGACGAATGCCAATATATGATAACCATAGTACTATTTATTCTCTTTGTTCTGCTTCTGTTCGGTAATTACAACAATCTAATATTTATGTTTCTTCCTATAAAGTTTTAGAGCAGTTTTAAGTTTGTTTTACTATATTTTTGTAGCAATATTAAAAGCTTATAAGCCATTTAATTTTAAAGCTATTTTTAAAATAATTTGAACATTTGTATCGACGTTGTTTTATCACTAATAATCTTTTTCTCATAATAACATCATTTATTTACTACACTTTGTCAAGAATAATTGTTTTCATAATCATCTGAAATTGTTGCTATTTGTTTTGAATGTTTTCAATCTTCTTTCCTAGCATATCAACAACCACCACCACCATCATTTTGTCCGCAGAAGCAACGTGCTGCTGAAATTCATGAGGAAGCTATTCAGCGTGCGGCTGCTGTTTACAATCAAATTAGAGGGCAAAAGATTTCTCCATCCGGTGTTAATCCTCTTCCTCAGGTTGTTTGTTTGTTTTTTCCGTAGAAATTTAATAAAATAATGAATAAAATTTTTCATAATTGTACAGTACCTTTTTTTTTACAGATTTTTATTCAATGATGAAATAATAAATGATTGAGAGTATTAATTTAGGCGACAAGAAACACGACATTTCCTCCTCATTCACCTATCACAACAACTATTGCTGAAACATCGATTGAAACTGTTCCAAAAAAGTCACCAACAAGAAAACGGTATAACCTTAGAACAAATTCCTTTTTTTTTTTTTTTTTTTTTCGTTCTTATTTCGAAATTAATTAAAGGAAAAATTATTGTCTAAATCTCTATGAAGAAATGACATTGAAACATTTTTCTGTAGTATTCATATTTTGCAAACGGGAAACAATTTTGTTATCATTTCATATACATTTTTGTAAATGTTAAATGTTTTAATATATCACTGATGAATCGTATGGTGGAAATTTCAAAAAATTTTTTTTACTGAATTAACAATTGTATTATTTGTGACAGTTACAGATGCAATGTTAGTGCATAGTGAAATTACTAGTGGAATTTATTATTGGAAATCATTTATTCAATGATTAATAGTAGTGTTTGAAATGTTAGAGATGTTTCTTTTTTGATCAGTTTTACGATATTTTTTTTTTTGATTTTATATCGAAGAACTGTAGAAATCAAAATGATTAGAAAAAGGAAAGAAATGGAGTGGAAAAGTACGAAATTTAATCGATTTTTTTTTTTAATTTTAAATTAATGTTAAAGAACAAAAATATTTCCCTAATCTTATTCTCTCACATTCATTTTCAATATGTTATCCGTCATTTGAACTCATCTTTAGTAAAATTACATTTTTTTTTTTTTCTATTTTGGCTATTGTGATTTGTTCATCGCTGATTATTATTATGATAAAAAATTTGTTTAATTTAAACGAAGTTTTTTTAATTTTTTCTCAATATTTTTTTCAATTAAAAAAGTTGAATTTTTTACAGGAAATCCTTTTACTCATCTACTATTATCATTACAGCTTTCCAATCATTTCATATATACTGCTTCTGATTTGGGAAATGTGTAATCAATCCTAAATTCATTCCATTAATTTTCAGGAATCATTCGATGATGTCAGCTTCACAGGTCCGTGTCACCGTGCTTGGTACACAATCAGAGCCAGCTACACAACAAATTATCACCGAAAGTGATCATGTCTTGCCGATTCATGGAATTGCTGGTCTTCCGAAGCAGGTCATTTTTATCATGAATATATTTTTAAAATATTAAAGTGCATTTTCATTTGTGTAAGACACAACGTTTAGAAATGTTAAATTAATAGACTGATCAGTCAATTTTATATAAATTATTCCGTTGATTTTTTTGCTAAGCATATTTGCATAATTCACACTGCTAATTTTAGCCTCGTATCGAGATGGCAGATACTGGACCTGGAAAAGATATTGCTCCTCATAGCGGTGATGAGAAACCACCTTGGCAATTCGTTCGCGCAGTCAACAATGCTGTTCCCATGGGTACATCACAGGTAAGTTAAATGTAAAATTCAAATAGATTTGTATGTTGATGTTGCTATAATTTTCTTTTATTACCATTCTTAGTCTAAATTTATTCATGCTGAAACGTGTAAAGTAATAAAGCGTACTAATAAATATTACGCTATCAATTTGTATTTATAATTCCACCATATATCATTATATGCTGAGAGTAAGTAACGCAAATTTGCAAAAAAATGGAATTACTATATTGTTTTATTGTTTAAGATAAAAATTTATTTCAGACAATGGAAGATTGCTCAAAAAATGATGTTGGAATAGATCCTTCCGATGCACAAAAATCATTTGCTATTCAAATTAATAATAACTCATTTTCGTTACCAGCTGCTGAACCACTTCTTAACAATCCAATTGGTTCATCTATCAATGGTTCAGGAATAGGTGTGATATCTGGTGCATCTGATCTGGTCACTGCTCAACCTGTGCTTTCTGGTTAATAATTTATGTTACATTATTGAATTAGGAAAAACTATTAATAAAAATTTTATTTTTTTCAAAAATGCCCAAAAATTGTTTTAAAAGTAGTACCGAAGAAATTAACAATTTATTAATTAGGGTATCAAACCACAAATCATTTTTATTTACTATTAACTGATGCTTTTTTTTTCTCTCATTTAAAGTTTAGTTTCTTTTTTTTTTGAAGTCATATGATGCAATAATCTGAATGTAATATGTACAGGAAATGGTAGTCATCTCGCTGAATCATTACGTGAAGTAATGGCACAAGTGGATGATGACGTAATAAATTATTCACGTGAGACTCAATATGTTCGCAAATTGTACTTTATGAAGCGACTGATTGAATCGCTTGTTATTGTATGTTATATAAAGTTTCATAAAAAATAGTTTTTTTCATTTAATCTCTTCATCAAATTTTATCATAAAAGAAAATTTAAAAAAGAAAAAAATTTTAAATAAATGTCTAAAATTATATTAGTATTATGTATTTATATTATATAGAAAAATGGTGCATTATGTGACGAAGTGTCGCGTTTAAATCAACGTATTCGAACAGTAATGGAAGAAAGAAAGTGAATAATTTTTCTCTATTCAGTGAAACATTATTATGAAACTCTTTAAATTTTTATTTTTGTTTTTAGGAATGAATTAAATAATTAACAAAAGAAATGAATTCTATATATATTTTTTAGTAACAATAACGAGTGCAATATTAGCAGTGAAAACGATTAGAATAGCCAAATTATATTTTACAGAGTTTTGGCAAAACGATTACAACATCATGAGCGTAATAGGATTCGTAGAATTCAAACCAAATTAAAGAAGGTATCATTTAGACGATTCTTTTTTTTTTAATTTTCATCTTTTATTAATAAATATGATTATATTTTTCCTTCTTCTTATAGCAAGCAGCTGCTCGTGCTGCAAAAATGAATGAATCACAATCAGTGCTTGCATCTGCAACAAGCGGCACAGAAGGTTTGCCAGGTGGTGATATCGAAAATTATGAAAGTGACGATTCTGATAAGACACTTGTTTCTAGTGGTGCGGCTTCTCCGAACACCAGCGCGTCAGTGAGTTTTTTTTTTTTTCTTTTATTGTTTAGTTGAAAATAACTATTAATTGTCGATGGTCTCTTTCGTAGGCTATGAAATGCTTGAGGTTTCCTAAATACATACATACATATATATATTTTATAGCATTTATTTATTTATTTTTTTTTTCTTTTTGTAATTTTGGTGCTTTAGATAATTTGTATTATAGAATTTTGGCATGTTTAGTGGAGCAGAATAGCTATTTCCAGATGTCTCGTGTAGAAACGCCGGAACCAGCTTCACGCAGTCATGAATTTATATCGAAAATGACACCTTACAATACTAATGTTCAAGAAGGTGGAAAATGTAAGATAAAAAGCGGTATGCGTCGTCATCTTTCAACTAAACGTTCGCTTATTGATCGAAAAGAAAAAAAAATTTCATTAAATTAAAATTCTAGTCTAGATATTATCTGTGATAGTTAGGTGTAACATTTTTATGGTAGCTATAGTTAGTGATATTTGTAGTACTTTTGTTTGTCCTTTTTTTTTTTTTTTTTTTTTTTTTTTTACTAACTTATTTGTCAAATTATTTTCGTAATTGGTTTAACGTTATAATTATATCTCATATTTTATTTGTGAAGGCTGTGAATAGTAGTGAGATTTATGAATGCCAAAGCAACATCATGAAAGCATTAATGTGATATTATTCATATTTGCGAGTTTATTTCGTTTTTTATTCCTTTATCCCTTTTCCTTTTCCCGGTTCACCATATATTTAATACTCTATGTATGATATCGATAATCGATAATTGATTCGATCGGTTTTCTTATTATCGTATCATTTGGCTGTTGCTTTAATGGAACTTTTAAAGTATATTTTTCATGATTGTTAAAATCTCATGCATTGTGTATTGTATCATTCATTTTACAGATATTCTGCATTGATTGCGTTTTATAGTATTATACATCTGTACTGATAACGATCATCTATTTCTTTTTTTTTTTTTTTCTATTTGAATTTATCTTATTCTTTTGTAATGCTCATAAGTATATAATAATTAATGGTAGTTTTTGTATATGATTTAACATAAGTTCTACTGGTGCATTGTCAATTATTCACTCCTCCTCAATTATACTAGCCATGATCTCAGGATTCTATTCCATCTTTGTTATTGTTTATTTCTATTTACAAAAGTATAAAATGTTTCATATATTATTTGTCACAACAAATACTTAATATCATCAATATTTTAAAAATTCTCATTGTAAATTTAATAAAATATAAAATAATGGTAATAAATTATCATTGAATATTACTGGTCGATTATATGAAGTGCTAAATGATGTACTGTGACTTTAAAACAAAAAGATCAATTACAAATGTAATGCAAATTATGTCAAATTTAATTTATTATAAAAATTACAGAAATTAATCTAATCGAAGGAATTCTTACATGATTGAAGTGATTTACAAATATTATTGCTCAAGATGTGGTTTGAATTTGTAATATTTTTGTTACTTTATAGTTAATTACTTTAGGAACGCTATTTTAGAGCTTAATTGCATGATGTTCTTTTTCTTTTTTGATGAAGGAGAGGAGGAGGGGGAGGATATGAACTAAATTTCAAATTGATTGTTTTGAATTTGAAAACGACATTATGTAAAAAGAGTTATCAATTTATATTTACTAATGGATAAATTTAATTGATGATGTAGCGATAAAGGGGTGAAATTTACACGCTACCTTCCAAATATCAGATAATTTCAACTTCCCAGTTTATTTTATTTTTTTTTAAATTCAGATTTATATGACCAAAAATAAATTGAGAAAAGTAGCTAATAAATTTTAAATGGAACTTTAGATTCTTGTTCACTTTATCAAATCCCGTGTATCATCTTCTATGCTGTTTTTTTCTTTTTTTTAAAAAAAAATTTATTCAATTTATAATACATGAAACATTCATTTATCAATTTTTGTCGCATAGACATATCTTTTTTTTATATTAATGAAATGTGTTATTACTTTTTATATTTTTATGTTTATATTGTTCTGAAATTTCGTTAAAATATTTAAATTAACTAATTATTTACAAGTAAAATTCAACATATACTTTGGAAAATTAATTTTATAATATAAATTAAATTATGATTAAGGCAGTTCTTGATTGTATTCTGAGCTTTCGGTTTTTTTTTTTTTTCTCCCATGAAAACGCTTAAAAAAATGCTTTGAAAATGTCTTATTACTAGAAAATAATATACCTGAAATTTTCTTAATTCAACAAATTTTTCATTTTTCTATTGCCAAATTTAATCGACTTGTGCATGGTGATTATCAAATTCAAATTTCATTTCCAAATAAAATGCTAAATTAAAGCTCTAAGATGAATGCCTATTTCAAACTACTGTTTAGATTTCTTTTAGAAAGATCTAAATTAAAATTACTAATTAATAATATTTTGTTTGCATTGATAGCAACTGATAGCATATTAGCCAGACTATTTTTTTCATATAATTATTAGTCCTTATATATGTATAACGGATTTTATCATCTTTCATCGAATAGAAAATAACCTGAATTAAATTTTCATATCAGTCTTTTATTTTTTTTTAACCAGTATCCTTTACCTGTCTTTTTATCAGAATCTTTTACCTATTTTTTTTTTTTTTTTTTTTTTTTGTTTTTTTGATCAGCATCTTTCACCTCTTTTTTTCGATCAATATCTTCTATCTGTTTTTTCTTCTTTCTTTTTTTTTGATGATCCCTATAAATATATTGAAAGTGTAACTTCCTATATATGTGTTGAAATGCACACTGATAATTAAATCAGTCGGTAATGTCCAATATATTATAACTTCAATACTATTCACTAAGCTTGCACAAAAAAACTGTACAAAATCAGCACCATAACTAGTATCAAAATTTTACCACAATTTTTCCCAAAAAAAATAATAAATACAAGGATCTGAATAATCTTCCAATAAAAAGATTACAAAGATCTCAACAAACAAACATTCGTCATACAGTATGAAAACAACAAAACAAATGCTGGTCATTATACGGTAGGAAACAAACATTTTTAAAGCACTCTTATGATTTATATTGAATTGATAACAAATAAATAAATTAGAGCTGTGAAATAATGATTGTCCTTTGCATATGGTAAATAATTCACGAAGACAGAAAAAAATTTTTTCCGGTAAATACTCTGGTTGAACTGAATGTGCCTTTTATAATGTTGCACAAGGAAAAATATGTAAGTCTTTAAATACAGTAACTTAACTTTAAAAAAAAAAAAAAGACTTTCTAATACCGTTGATCTAGACAAAAACTTACCAATCATTTACTGCTAATTTTATCCGATCTTCAAGTAATACTATTTCGAATTTAGGAAATTTTAAAATATATGATAAGACATTGGGTAACTCTCAGCAGTTCCAACTCTCAGAACATTATAGCATATAATTTATTTACATGATTGGCAATGCTCGAAAGTTCCTTGAATTCTCATTTTGTGACAGTAGGGATAATATGGGATCGACTGTTCTGACAAGTTCCTTCGGAGGACACTATCTTTCCTGTCGGATTTCATGCCTACCTTTTCTTTGAATACGGAGATTGAATACAGAGAATTTCATGCCTGCCTATAGTTTCACTGTAAATTGGACTAAACTCTGTAGCACTGACTACATGGAATTATTGATTAAATTGAAAAAACTCTTAATATTCAACTTTGAATCGTTTTATCTGGAAACCAAACTTGCAAATGCCATATTCAGCAACGATCGACAAGGCTAAGATCAATATTTACAATCAGTACAACCAAACAATGCTAATACGAACATAATTATGTACAGCATAATAAATGAGTCCATGGAAAATGGAAAATTAGTAGTTTAATGAACAAATACCAATTTATTTATTTAAGGTCAAACTTTTCTACAATGGATCTTGAAGACAATTTTGGCACATAAAATACTGAAGAAGTTCTCTTAAGAACAAAATACAAAATTAATATTAGACTCGATACAATTTCTCTTTCTAGAACATGGCATTTTCAAATAAATATACAGCTCACTGTCTCAGTGACAGTCTCATTGTCATATGCTCCACCACTGCTTTGAATGCAAAGAAAAAGAAAGGGGATTTCTAATGCTATGAAATGCATTAAAATACTATAGTACATTGAAATATGTAACGAAACTTTGATCTTAATTGTCTATCGAATAGATGTTGGAAAAAACCAGCATGCTATAAACATATTTATGGCAGTAGAGAAAGTAAAATCATTTATATCACCTAAATCATTTTGTATAGATGAATGTTTATTGTATTTTTCCAAAAATTTTTTCGAACTTACAAAGCAATTTTATTTTAATTTTGTTGGAACATTCTCAAAAATTTTCATTCTACAGGTACTTTCTATAAAACAATGTTAAAATAAACCTCTACAATATGTTGTCTAATAACAATATACTTCCTTAACAAGTGCATATCAAAGAAAACTGCTAATCAACTCTTGCTTTCTTCTATTTTTGTCAAGGAAAACAAATAATTCCTGAGTTCACTATCATCGATCACATCCGGAATTACCCATGCATCGCTTCCATCAAGCTCTAAAGGATTACGACAGAGCGGACACCAGTCCTTCTTCATAGCTTTCCACTGTTCGATACATAACGAACAAAAAGTATGAACACACGGCAACACTACATCTGGCCTACGTTCCATACATATTATACATTCAGTGGCAGTAAGAGCTCTGAAAAACATTTAAACAAAAAAGATAAAAGTAATTTATCTAAAAAACTACAATTTTGCAATTAAAAAACATACTAGATACTACATACTCGAATAATCTGACAAAAATAAATGACTTGCTGACCTGTCCATATGTGCATTAAGGACGTGTCCTTGAAATAGTGTCAGCAAATAATATAATGATTTTTGAAGAGTCAAAAATTGTTCAAATGTGAATACACGGTAGGAATCAGCCGACCTTGCATTAATCTAAATCTAACAGTGAATTTTAGGGTAAGTTGAATACGATCTACATCGTACTAGATGCAAAAATCATGTCAGAAGGACTGAAAACAATCAGAGTAAGTTATAACATTTAGGTTGTTCCTTAGGCACGAAAATCTTAATTTCAGTCCATTAGAATAATCTTTCCTGAACAACTAAAACACGTCATGCATCTGCAGGTAATGGCATTAACTGTTGCATGATTCGAAATCATACGAAATTAAAACTGAACGACTATTAGTTTGATTTCTAAAATTCATATACGACCAATTTGATAATTACAACTCAAAGTTGCAAAACAATGGATAAGGTTTAGAATGATGCAATATAACGTAATCCTTTAGCCTATTATATTGAAATTCAAATTTAATAAGCAAAAAGAAAAAGTAGCAATAAGTAATGTAGAAGAAAACAACGAACGATTACTTTCAAAGTGCATATTCTAACAGTTATTTTCCAAAGCAACGTATTAGCAGTGCCTTTTTTAATTGCAAACAATAAATGTCTTCCGTCCGAGTCAACAAAATTAGCACATCTGAAAACCTTCACACTGCACAACTTCGTTTTTCAAAAGAAAAAAAAAAAACTGCACTTTTCCCTCTAATGATCGAACACTAAAAAAAATCGTTATGTACACGGACATCAACCATTTAATGATAACATTCAGTTGGGTATCTTATTTAAATGTCCCGTAAATATGTACCATTAATAAATATACTGGAAAAACTTAAGACTACACTTAACTCAGTAAACCATAAGCGTCAAATTTGGCTAACCAAAATACTTGTAGTGGATAACACTATAAGCATTCTGCATATCTCTTAATTGATGAATTAACCTGTCATTGAGTTCGCAGATAAGCTTAACAAATTGCACCCACGTCATTGACAACATTTCAATTGTGTTTTGTGACTTCCTTGAAAGTATACTTCGCTCTTGGCCCATTCCGCTGAAGCTAACAACTTTATTAATCTAATGATTGTAAACATATAAGCATTTATCCAAAAATAAACAAATATAGTCGTTTTTATTCAATAACAGCACATATGCTTTAAAAGCATTAGCACATAACAGGTATGTAAATAACTGCATACATTATGTTTTAAAACAAAAATTTCGAGAGAGAAAAAAGGAAAGAAAAGAAAAACCACGCCTTATCGGTCTTAATGGGAACGATTCATGCCAGTAATGTAAATTCAAAACTTTTTTTCATTGTACGAGAAGAAAATATGTAATGTTTTATAATTATATAAAATTTAAAATAATTATTACCAATTTGCTGAATTTACCTCACTCTTCCCTTCCTTTCTCATACTTTTTAAGAATAAAGCTCAAGTTCCGAAAATGAAGTGTTGGCTGATCCGTTGTTCCCCAGAAAAGCTGGCTGGACTAAACGGATGTTAAAATTTTGTGAGTTTGGCATTAGCAATGCTAGTTTTACGGTTTTGAGTTTTTGTGATGTATGAGTGAGTGGTTCATTGTTTAAGATTAAGGTTTATAGGAAGAAGAAATGATCTTGATAAATGTCATACAATGAGTAACTCTAATATTTGCATATTTTCGGATTTCATATGTTTATTATTTTCTATTGCATTTTTATTATTATGCTTTTGCATTTTAGGAATGTATGCATGATCAATGGATGGAAGCAATGAAAATGTAAGTATTTTCGAAATAAAATAGGGTGTAATACTGAAAGATAAACAAAATTGAGTAAGAAGTATTCATCAATTTTTGGGTTGAATGAAGAATTCTATACATCGAATCTTATATTATATAGATTATAAATCATTTATGTTAACTAATTTGCTTCAAAATAAATTCATTAACACATATTTCTATTGCACATACTATTGGCAGCAACATAACTAGTGATAATTTTGACAGCTTATAAAATATCATCTGGAATGTAAGTTCCTTTTTATGCTTTCGTAAAGGACTCTGTAGTTTGAGATATTAATATATTAATGGTGCTTGAGAGAGAATTTGACATAAAAGTCATAAGTGAGGATGCGAAAATCATGTAAATCAAAAAAAAAAAAATAATGCAGGCAATTTTCATTTTTGCTTGCATTAGACACACATCTCGGCATCTAACTTCATTTTACAACCATTTTGTTGAGCCGAAATGCTACTAAGTTGTGGAAAAGTCTCAGCTTCTTAGATGAGATATAACACAAAATGGATTTAATTTCAAATTTAGCAGAAGACAATATGATGAAAGCAAATTATTACAAGTGAAACGGCGACGATTCCGGGGTGAAAACAGCAAGATGGATGTTGGAAATGTCAACAGTGTAAGTAAATTCGCTCTTTTATGATCGATAGACAAAGAAATTCTTTTGCTTTTTTTTCATCATTCGCAAGTATTTTGTGTTATATGTAGATGCTTTTGAAATTTTGTCAAGTGAATGATAATTCTACTTTATAATACTTGCTTTATTATTGAATTTGAGTTGGTTTAATGTAGAAAGATGTAATTTAGGATCTGGATGGTTTGGAAACGAAATTTGAATTGAATAGTGTTTTTGTATCAGCTTCACGTGGTGGTCCATCGTATAAGCCTGAAGTGACGGATAGCAAATTTAACAACGATATTGTGACTGATTCAATACCAATGTTGAAGAGAATGAGAGAGATGTTGAATTCGAATATCGCTAGAGGCGAAACAAGCCTTGTTTTTAAGTATCTTTTCTTTTCCTTGGAATTTTTGATATCCTTCTAACTGCTAATTTTCTGTACTATGCCAATTATTTCTTAACCTACATTTTGCTTTTTCATTTAATCTAACAGTTGACCAGTAACAGTTTCTTAAGCTTACTAATGCATTTTGAAAATCATTGTTTGCGTCGAATAATCAGCAGTTATGGCCATTGTGAATCTATTCTATAATTTGTAGACATTTTTATGTGGATTGATTTTGTCAACATTTAGTTATTTTGCTTTAAACTTTAACTCTTAACTGGAGCAGATTAAAGCAAACTATCATAAAAAAGAATACGCTATACTAATTCTAATTTATATGTTGTGTAGCTATGTTATTTCAGTAGTGGAGACAGCATACAGGTTGCTTCTGATGAAGATTTTAGCTTTACTCATGCAAATATCCTTGACTCAAGCATGTCTACTACATCTTCGTATAGTTTATTTTTACAGGTGTGGATTGAAGATAATATAACTTTTTATGTTATCGGTTCATTTAAATAAAATTGTTTTCATTTCATTTTAAAGTTCCATTTACTTCATACTCATTCAAAATTTTGTTTGTATACGGTAATGAAGAATTCGTCTTTCATCCAGCCTTTTTTTTTTTTTTTTTTTTTTTTGGATTTTCCAAACTTTTAAATTTATTTCAGATATTATTCCCATTCGTTCCTGCTGGCCTTGGGATGGTTTTTGCTGGATTTGTTCTTGATATTGTACAACACTGGAATCTTTTTATTGAGGTACCTCTTCAGTTGTCTAACATTCTTTAAGCTAGGTTTTTATGGGCCATACTTTTGGATGCCTTCAAAATCTCTATTTCATTAAATTTTATAGGTACCTGAAACATTCATTTTGGTTCCTGCATTACTTGGCTTGAAAGGAAATCTTGAAATGACCTTTGCATCCAGATTATCAACATTGGTATGTTCATTTATTCTTTCGTTCTGTGGTTCTGTTATTTGTTAATGCTTCCCGTTGTAGCTGAATTCGCTCTCGAGATTGAAATAGATTCATGAGATTCGTTTTATTCACTAATAACTGATATCCCGGGTTAATAGTACTATGTAAGATATAATATCTATTTAAACAATTGTATCAGGCCAACATGGGACGAATGAATTCAAATCCGAAGAAGATTATTGTTGCAAACTTGGCTCTCATTCAAGTACAAGCAATTGTAGTAGCATTTCTGGCTTCTAGCTTTGCTGTTACGCTAGCATGGATACCGAAGGGGCAGGTGATTCTGTTAATTTCAGAAAGTGGTCTCTACATCAGTTTATCATTGAACTTCGATTCCAGAGAATGAGAATGTAGTTGATTAAACTGTTAGCAGTTTTTATATGTAAATGCAGAAATTAGTAAAAATGATTTATGCAGTAGTTTAGTTAATTTACTTTCATTCGTACTCGTCGACTTTATTAATTGTAAATGGACCTGAATAAAGAATTGCAGCAAAGCTGAAACAAAAAACCTGAAACAAAACCTGCGTTTTTCTTAACAAAGTCTAGTGTTAAAAAAAACTGAAATCGCTGTTGTTTAGTTCCAGTTTACATCATTCTGTTGCGAAACTAATAGCTTAATGTTGTGTATGTATTATTTATAAAGTCAGTCCTTTAAAAGTTTACGGTAACAACCAAATGATTAACATGGGCTTTTGTCGTTCAAAATCACTGCACAAAAAAATTTGACCATGTTTTTTCAGTAAATGTAAAATTTCAGATTGATTGGTCTCATGCTTCTCTATTATGTGCAAGCAGTCTAACAACGGCGTCACTGACATCATTAGTGCTTAGTACGGTTGTGATATGTGTCGTTTTAATTTCACGGAATTTCGATATAAATCCCGACAATATTGCAACACCAATTGCTGCTTCACTGGGTGATCTTACTACCTTAGGAGCTCTGTCATTATTAGGTAATTGTCTAGTTCTAAAACGTTAATTGACTTTGGTATTTGTACTATGCAATTATATCATGATTTCAGTATAAGCTTAAATTTCGCCAGATTTTATATGTAGCCGGTCGGTGGTCATGAAATTCTTTTTACCTTTGACTTGGTAGAATTTGGAATCGATATTTTCACTTGATCAGGCGATGACAGATAGATGCTTCACATCTTCATTGAGAACTTCAAATAACATAATTCTAGGGATCGAAACAGGGAAGGAAGCAGACGGCGCAGCCGTCTTGCGCTGAACCTTTATGAATGAATGACCCATTTACCTTTGAATTGTTAAAGATCTAATCTTTTCTAAGAACAAAGAAGGGGAGAAGCATCGTGTGTTGCAAGATTTTCACATACTTACGAGGAAAACAAAGAGGAAAGATAACAAAAATGGCTTGGAAGATAAAGGTGAGAATTAGAGGAAACAAAGATAACTTAGTGGACAAAGCACTTAATCTACTTTGTATCACTTCCTTATAGTGCTATAACGCTTCCAACAAGATAGTTACGTCATCCTTACTACTTCTCTGTGCTACATGGAAATTTTTTTGATTTTCATGTCTAAGCTGATATTTCGACTAGTTTCATTTGCACTTGTATTTTTTTATAATTTTTTTTTTTTTTTTTTTTTTTATCTTAATTCTGATGCAAACTTCAAGTAATGAATTCTTCTAGGTTCGATATTTCTCCACGCACATCTCAATGATACTTGGCTTAATGTTGGTGTAATTGTAACATTCATAATGGCTACACCGTTCTGGATTTATCTGGCACGAAAAGATAAAGGTACAGTCGATGTGCTTGAAAATGGTTGGTCACCCATTATATTCAGCATGTTGATAAGTAGTGCTGGTGGTTTTGTGTTAGAAAGCACTATCAAGCGATTTCCGAAAATTGCAATGTTTCAACCTGTTATAAATGGTAGGTTGGAAGAACATTAATTTTATAAAAAATTTTATGCTTAGAGCTCGCATAAACTCGTTTCTTTTTCTTCACTGTGGTTTGTATATATACAATTCTTTGATAACTTTGAAAATACAAGTGATCATTTCGTGCACGGACGGTTATTTTTTTCAGGAGTTTTTTTTTTTTTTTTTACAGGAGTTGGTGGCAACCTTGCAGCTATTCAAGCTAGTCGTCTTGCTACTTTCTATCATCAGCACTGTCCATTTGGAACATTAAGCGATACTTTATCAAGTCGGTTCAGTTTTAGACGAGCATTCTTTTCTAATGGTAAGCGTCTTTTTTCTGAGTTCACTTTTTTTAATTGAACTTTTTCAGCTTTGCTCTTTAGATTCTTTAGATGCTATAAATACTTTGTGGTTCCTGAGAATTTTGCGAATATTACTGTATTAAAAATTATTAGATAAAAATGTGATTTTTAGACATAGATGCGCATTCAGCTCGTGTGTTGCTTTTGTTTGTGGTTCCTTGCCATATGTTCTTCAATTGGATTATACAGATTTTACACAAAGGGAGTAGTCTGCCATCTGGATCACTTTTTACTAGCATTTATATTTGTGCAGCATTGGTGCAGGTTAAACACTTAGTTTTTTGAAAGGACGAAGTCTAAGATTATCTTGATGAGCTTTGCTTCATTTTTACTAGTAAGTGAAACCAACTCCAGTCAACTGGGTTACTTCACATTTACCAGTAAAATAATTATGAGTTCTATTCAGACCGGAATTTATTGTATTTATTTTAGTATTGCTTGCTTTCATGGAATTTGTATTTGGCAATAAATGGAGAAACAGTCTGGATTTTATGTGAACAAGTCAGAAATTGAAAATGAGTAATGGGTTTTCAGGTTTTATCATTACTTTACGTTTGTCAGTTACTTGTTGCCTTTTTATGGTCAATACGGATGGATCCAGATTGTGCTGCAATACCATATTTAACAGCCCTTGGTGATTTATTTGGTACATTTTTACTGTTTCTAATATTTGCTTCTCTTCCTTGGTTTAACAAAGGCGGAAATTTACGGTGATATAATAATAATTGCATTTCTTGAAGCTGCTATTGCCATTGGTTCTGTTGCATTAAAATGTAGATTCATATATCTTAACTGAATTGTAGATGTAAATTGATTGAAGTTGTGCAAGTTTGTCATTCATTTGTTTTTTTTTTTTTTTTTTGAGACTCTGATATGCTAGAATCAACCATCTTTCCAAAATATCCATACATATACATATGTGTTTATGTACTTTTAAGGGATCTGATATTTTTTTTTCCTGTCGGTTTCTTCGCGAATAAAGTAATATGACATTGTGTTGATGGTGGTTAAGTCATTTTATTAACTACCTCATTTTTTATACCATACAGAGAAAAAACTTTGCCTCTGATGGTTACTTTCCAGGTATATGTTGAATGTTGAAATTGATAATTGCAATATTTTTCAGTCATATGCATGTTGAAATTGATAATTGCATTTGCACTTTTTTCATTCTATTGAAAGTTTATCACTATCAATGAAGAAAATCCAAATTTTTTTTTTTTGAAATTTCGAACTTCACATCTTCCTTTTTTCAATTTATCCCGTGATCAATTCATAACAGTCATATGTCGAGGATTTTAACTCTAATAAAATTATGGGTGTCCAGCTTATATGATATAATCTAAACTACTTAAAGAAACCAGACAGAACGATTTATTTCACTGTGTATTAACAGTGCTGGATGATAATACACGATTTAGTCGCTCTATAGCAAGATTGCTCCAAACGAACTAAACTGCACTGTTAAAAGCGAACAAACACGGTTTTGTGAATTTCTGCTGAAATACCGAATTAAATTCTTAACTATCGCAAAATTCTATTCGCATTCTAACATTAGAATACACCACACCACTGTTGACATAAGGTGTGTTTTAGAGTGTCACATGTCCTTCATATGTAAAAATTTGCACTCATTTCAATGCGTTGTGTTACTGTAATAGCTTCAAGTATAATTTATATTATTTATTTATAACTATTGGATGATACAGATTAGATGATTTAGGATAAATAATGATTTAGTTGTAGTCATCTATTAATTAAAATTTTCTAATTTTACACTGTTTTAAAATTGCAACATTTCTGGAGCAGAAAATTTACTACCAATTAAGTAATCGTCTATTAATAATTTGCCTTACCTCTGTAATAATCAATGATGAGAAAAGTTGAAGTGCTATTAAATTCAAATGCAAATTATAATTTTTTCAATATTATTCAGTATCAGCTTTTTCCCTTCCAATAACATTAATAGCATTAATATTATCTTTCCATTCTGTTTTTTATTCTTGCAAATTCATTAAATTACATTATGATTTTTTTCAATATATGTATAGAAAGTAGTTCATCAAAATGGTATTTGTCATTTCGAAACGAATCGTTCTCATTTCATCCGTGTGGCAAATACGATCATTCCCTGTTGATCATAACCCAACTGTTTTATTTCATCTTATCAGTTGATATCATCTTGTTTGTATTATCACTCATACTATACTATCACTACATTATTACTTTTTCATGCTTTTATTTCTGCTAATGAATATTCATTTTGCTCATTCTATAATTTTTAAGCATTAATTTTCGCTTCTTAGCATTCAATTTTACTTTTGTTTATCAGTGATAATAGAATTAGGCTGTTTTAGCGAAGAAATTGAAATTTATCATTTTTTCTCCTTTTTCTTTATCTTTTGTTTTAAAAGGAATGTGAAAATTTTTGCATTAACCAATTATCTTCTAAAATTTGTAATGATTTCTTAATGCATTTACATGTTTATTAATTTGGTTTATTTGCTTATCTTTTTTCTTTCCATGAAGTTTTGATAATTTATGATCACTGTCATTAATATCACAATAGTCTAACAAATCATATATATTCCCAGCATTATGATTGTTTAGAATGTTTTCGTCATAAATGTTATTTTCATTCGAATTACTTTTGATTGATGATAATTTATTTTTATATCATTTGATTATTCCAGAAGTGTAACTATTTTTTGGAATGGCTGCTCAGCAAATATTATTTAATCGTATTAGATTATTTCATTTTTCATTAAATCAGAGTTATTCTACAGCTCGACAACAATTTATTGATTTATTAAATAAGGAACTGAGCACAATTCAGGTTAGTCTATCTCTATTCTTAATACATTCTCATAATAATTATTATACCAAAAACATTTGATAATTGATATAGATAATCATCAATTAGTAGTGATAATTTTTAGGATGCTGGTACATATAAGAATGAACGAGTTATCGTTGGTCGACAAGGAATGAAAATTAAAATTATGAATTACAATATGCCATTGTTAAATTTTTGTGCTAATAATTATCTTGGTAAATTATATTTTTTCTTTTTCCCCTTTTTTTTCTTAAGATAATTAAATATCTATAATGGGAAATTATTCAATGCAATTATTTGTAAAACAAGCAAACTTTTCAATAGATTTTATCTTTATCAGGATTAAGTAGTCATCCAGAAGTGATCAAAGCTGGACAGGAAGCAATAGATACTCATGGTGCTGGTATGAGTTCAGTAAGATTTATTTGTGGAACACAAGATATACATCGAACTTTGGAACAGAAACTTGCTAAGTTTCATGATCGTGAAGATGCTATTCTGTATGCAGCTTGCTTTGATGCTAATGGAGGATTATTTGAAGTGCTTACAAGTAAGCAATATAGTTTGAGGCATTTTTGCATGAATTAATTCATTCTTCTTATTGCTTACCTATTTTGTCATCTAGCATTAACAAGATTACTTTATGTGATCTTTAGTAAGATATCTTTGATTTTTGATTGAACATGAATTGTCATATTTTATCTTAATTGGATATGGTAATTTAATGATATAGATGAGATGAGCAGATTATATAAGACTTATTTTGCTTATATATTGTGAACAGAAAAGCTATTTATTTATTTATTATTATTATTTCGTTTGTTTCAAATCCATACTATTTATAATTAATGAATATTGTAGATGATGAGGATGCAGTTATTTCTGATGAGCTTAATCATGCTTCAATTATCGATGGCATACGATTATGTAAAGCGAAACGTTATCGTTACAGACATGTTGATTTGAATGATTTAGAACAAATTTTAAAAGAAACTCAAAGTAAATTATTAATTTCTTTATGCTAATGATATATAATCCATAATTGTTTTATTTTTCTTTTCCTATCTAGAAAAAAAGAAATGAAAAGATTAAATTTTGAATTTAGGAACCATTATAAGATTTAGAATGTGATATATAATTTACTTCATGTCCATTTTTTTCTTTCTAGCTTTTCAAAATCTTCATTTTATTTTTGAAATTTACATTTAAATCTTAGCAATAAATTTTGAAGATAGGAGACGACGAATAATTGCCACCGATGGCGTTTTCAGTATGGATGGTGATGTAGCTCCATTGAAGGAAATATGTGATCTTGCGGATCGATTTAATGCACTCGTTTTCGTTGATGATTGCCATGCAACTGGTTGAATTATAGTATTGATAATAACGATAAACATGCCATTAATATAATTTACAAAAAGAAAAATGTTTTTTCCCTTATTGATCAGTAGTAGAGTTAGTACAGATAATGTAACAAAAAAAAAAAGTGTGAAAAAATCTAAGAAAAGATTAAAATAATAATTTTTTTTTTTAGGCTTTTTCGGGCCAACTGGTCGTGGTACAGAAGAACATCTTGGTGTTCAAGGACGTATTGATATAATTAATTCTACACTTGGAAAAGCTTTAGGCGGTACAATGGGTGGATACACTACAGGACCTAAGCCCTTTATCGATCTTTTAAGGCAACGCTCTCGACCATATTTATTCTCGAATTCATTAGCGCCGTCCATTGTTGGCTCTTCCATCAAAGTAATCTAATTTTAGTAACAATATGCCGATTTTTCATCGATTTTGATGCATTTAATCTCAAAAAATTTTTCTTTGTGAGGAATCGGTTTAATATGCTTACAAAAAAAGAAAAAAAATTAAATTCAAATGTTATTTTTTTTTTCAATTTCCTATTGCAGGTATATCGCCTAATTGATTTATTTCTTACTTTGAAAACAACAAATGTTTTAGTCATATTGTTATTATGATCATATCACTACATTTATTCCCGAATGACTTACTTCACTTTATAGACAATAAAGTGGAAACGAAAATTTTTTTCACTATTTAGGTTCTTGATTTATTGACCAATTCATCAGAATTTACAAATTCTTTAAAATCCAATGTATCTCATTTTCGTAAATCACTTACTGATGCTGGCTTCAACGTGATGGGTAATTCCGATCATCCAATTTGTCCAGTATTTTTGGGTGACGCAAGGTATTTTTCATATTTTCCTTCTTATTGCTCATACGAATATCACTCTTTATCCTTAAACTTGTGTAGGATGGAAAAAGTGATAGCAATTTTAGTTTTAAAATTAATAATTTATAAACAGATTGGCTTCAACATTTGCGGATGAAATGCTTAAAAAAGGCATATATGTGATTGGATTTAGCTATCCTGTAGTACCTAAAGATAAGGCAAGAATTCGTGTTCAGGTATTTTCCTTTTTTACTTTTTTACATATCAAACATAAAAGATAAAGATGTGCTGTTGTCACTTTTTATTTTCATTCTCTTTCTTTCTCTTCCCTTTTCAATCAATCGCTCTTTTTAATTTAAGGGTTAAACCCTTAAATTCTAATTCTCCATATTTGAAATAATCTATGATTTAGAATGATAGTACAGTAAAGATTATAGTTTCTGATTAATGGAAATTCCCTATATTTGCTTCCAAAAGGATTTGAAGGAATGTTTTCAAAAATTTTGTTTTCATTTTGAACTTGAAAATAAAATAAAATTTAGATTTCCGCAGCTCATACAAAACAACAAATCGACCAATGCATTAGCGCATTCAAGACGATTGGCAAGAAACTTAACGTTATCTAAAATCAGTTCATCAATAGCAAAAGTGTATCAATCATTTGCATCACATTCCCTATTCCATATACATTATGTTTGATTTTAATTTCAATTTTTAACCTCCTTAGAATTTTATTTGTATTCCAAACAATGCCACTTCAATTGTTATTCACTATCATTTAACTTTTACAAATCTTTGCTCAGAATCAATTTGATTTAATAAGATTATTGGCCTAAAATTAGGTTATAGTTGTTCTTTGAAAAATATTATCAATCTGTTGAGATATTGCACTGCGCTTTAGTGATGCATACGCTGAGATTGAACGTAATGAGAACTTTCACATTTATAATTCTTAAATAACAAGACTTAAGAAGATATTGATTATCAGATAAATGACAGTGCAACTAAATTGCTTTCTTGTAACAATTTCAGCCATTTAGATCATTTCTAAATTTCATTTGATAATAGATAAAAATACATAATTCGATAACACAATTGAAACATATGTTAAATTGAAAACAGAGGTATTGAAAAGTGATAGATCCTCACCACAGTTGTACATATTTTCATCATTTTGATTTGATATCAAAATGATGAAAATATTTAGCTCAATAATTTATGTCGTATGATCAATCGAATCTTCCACCGAAAGTAAAAATCCTCCGTAATAATTCCCGGGACATTAAACCGACTTCCTGGAAAAATATTTTTTAATAAAGTTTTGTAGAGGAATTATAAGTTATCATTGCAAGATTATTACATCCGAAATTCAGATTGCAAAGTTTATTTTTCCTTTCTTCCATAAAAAATAACAGTAAATTTACCCGTCTAATTTTGCCTAAAACAGAAGCATTTTCTTGTGCCCTGCGAGAAAGATAAGGTAAAACTTTATCGATAGATCCATAAGGTACATATTTGTATACAGAATAACCAGCATTCCCGAGTGAATATGAAATCTGGAATAATCAATGCTAGCAAAATGTTAGCAAATAATTTCAATCCATCGCTACAACTCATTTTTCTTTCCACTGATAATTTCATTAGCTTCCAATATTAGCTTCTAAGAGCTCAATTTCGAAGTAGCAAAATATTTCATCATAAAAAGTTTAGAAATGTATTACTGCCACCACTTAATTTGGTAACAAATTAGCTTAGAGACTGGACAAGAAAATAATATAATCTACCTGATCACACATTCCATAAAGTTGGGCAAAAGAGACAGTTTCACTTGAAGGTGATATATTAGCTTCACGCATCATCTCGACCACATTTTTAGTGCTTTGTTCATTATGTGTTGCAGCCATTACCGATATACTTCCAGGACTTCGTTCCTGACTTTCTTTAATTATTCTTTGCATCACTTTTCTATACATTTCTGCAGTTGCCTAAAACAAAATAAAACATTATAAAACACGCTGTGATTATCAAATGTGAAAAAAAAAAGATTTTTTACCATCATTTTCATGATTATATTTACCACAGAACTTTGTATATTATTATAACTTTCCTTTTTGATTTTATTTTTTTTTTCTCTAATTTCAATTTTACTTCAATATTCGGATTCACTGGATCATCGTAATTTAAAGCAGCAGCACGTTTCCTTTCTTGTTCCATATATGCACCCCGAACAACTTTACATCCAAAATGGAAACCTTCTCGTCTAGCCAAATGCAAATCCAATTCAACATTTCTTAAGCAACTCTTCAAATATGCTTGATAAGTGCTAAAAACTATAGCGTCTTCTTTGTTATACCTGAAATCAAAGAAGCTGTATGGAATAACGAAATTTATAAATTTTTTGCAATTTAAACTAGTTCATATATAGGTCAACTGTAATTTCACTAATTCTTTTTTGTTTTTCTAAGATAAATTTTAGGATATGAGAATATCAAAACAGTTCATTTTAAATTTTAGATTTGCTTCATTATATAGATTAAACCGAAAAAAAAAAAAAAAAAAAAAGAAGTGTGAATTAAATGACTGATAATTACAACTGTATCTGACTTCCTCATCATTGCCATTGCTAATCTCGAAATAGCCGCTTGAAAATAGGTCTGTTCAGCATCAATCATTGTACGTAAATTATGCTTTTTTGCATATTCAATTGTTCTCACAATACGATCCATCATATTAACAGTCTGTAAAAATTTTCAAGTTTTAATTCAAAACTTTCACAAATCAGTATTATTTATCATGTTAATTGAAACAACAACAACGACAACAAAGCAAAAAAAAAAAAAAAAAAAACTAATTATAGGTTTACTTCGCGAGATTCAGCTTCTGTCAAACAGTTCAATAACGGCTCCATCCTTTTTGTTTTGACATTGTACACCTGAAAAAGAGAAAATATAATTAAACCTACAATGCTCAATCTATGCTTTTCAAATCAATTTGAAAAAAAAAAAATTGTGAAATTCCTATGAAGAAAAAACTATGAAAATGAAAAAAAAAAAAAAAAAAAGCATAGCAGAATCGTTTAGATACACCAGTGTTGTTTTCAAATTACATCTTCCTTAAAAACAACGGATTCACATTTTGCCAATTTCTGGATTACTTATGAATAAGCAAAAAGATAACATTTCAAATTTCATATAGAAATTGAAAAATTGCGAAATTTGATTACAGGAATAAACATCAACTCTTCAACTACCTGAAATATTTGATCGAGCCGTTGATGTTCTTCGATAAGTTTACGCCAATCGTAAAAGTCAACGAAGCCATTCTCGTCAAAATCTACTGTTTCTAACCATTTTTGCATCATAATTTCGTCTATTTGAACACCGTGATCCTAAATATTTTCAACTTCCTTTTCCTCAGTTCGCTTAAACTTTAAGTAAACTTAGGATCCCAAAGAAATCACAGGAAACAATCCTCGAATGTTGCAATTTTAAATATTTGTTTTAAATACTGCGTATAAAAACAAAAGAAACTTCAATTCTCTTCAAAAATTCTTCTTTTTTGATTTTATTAAGCAAAAGATCGTCCCAGGATGAGCCAATTAGTGTTTTGTAAAAATTATTCGATTGCGCTATCAATTCCGATAATTTCAAGAGCAACTGAGGCCTGAAATATGAGATGCAGTTCAAATAACAGAAAAATTTATCCTAAAATGTATAATCAAAAAAACTCTGGTTCGTTATAAAATAATCAAAATAGTTGATTCCTATACTAAACAATTTCAATGAATTAAACTAAACAAACACAAGACCTTCCAAGAGCCGTTAATTTGATACAGTTAATTCCCCAACTGCCGATTGCCGAAGTTATTGCATCTACGCTAGCACAAAAGATGTCACAATTCTTATCGCATTGGACTTCACTTTCATAAAAATAAGTTCTGAAATGTGTAAATTATATATTACTAGAAAAATGGCAATTATATCATTATAATTTTGAAAACTGAAGACTAAGAAGTCTTTATTCTAAATTTTGAAAAAAAAATTCTTTGCAAAAAAAAAAAAGAAAAAAAGAATGGCTCTGTTGATGTCTTATGATTCTTAAATTGTACTCTACCATACATATATTGTAGAAGTTTTATTAGGAGCAGAGAAATTTCATTCTACAGATCAGAAAGAGATTAAAACCTTGCGCTAACAACGTCTTTACGGCGATCACCAAATTCTTTGTGGACCGTATAACGCTGCAGTGTTTTTTCTACCGTTGCTTTGTCAACAACACTTCCTACCGGCTAGAATTAAAACTTATATTAAAATTTCAGATTAGTGGAAGTTAAAACACACTTCAACGAAATGACATTTTTGGGATTTTTATTTTATTTTTATTATAATTATCATATATCAAATCCTTATTAAATAGATCTGTTGACTGGTAGGAATATATATGTAAATTAAATATACAAACACGCAAATATATGAATAAACATTTCAATTAATTATCCAACCTTTAATTAAGCTGTTAAAAAACATACCTCAATTTTAGCTTCACCTCCGACTATTCCTTCCACTGCTTTTTTTTCAGCTTCATCCGAAGAAATATCTGCCTCAACGCAATAATCCAAAATTGATTTCACTCCACAACTCTTCAGTCTTTTCATTGTCTGTTGCACCTTTAACAATAAATTTTCAGCAAATGAATTTAAAATATCTCGTAAAATTAGTGACTGATTTAAAGAGATTTATAGAATGTTCAAAATTTACTAATCAAGACACTTTTTAAAAAAAAGAAAAACCATGAAAAAAATTTGTTAAATATATTTTAAAATACAGAATAACTGTCAATATGCTCCTCTCTTTTTCATTCATCAACTTCGTCATTTTTTTTTTTTTTGAAAATCCAGAAAGGACAATATTAAGACTGATGTGATAAATGTGAAAAAGAGACTCTTTCCATCTATTCGATATAATAATTTTTCACAATATTTTCATATGCTAATTAAACACTGCATTAATTTTTGCACTTTTGTGCTTGAAAGTGTAAGATAACCAGTAAGATAACTTACCTCATCAATCGTTTCACCGCCAACAAATTGTCCGAAAAACGTTGATTTCAGAAGTTTCGCATATAATTTTTCACCAAATATTTTTTTCAATCCAACTAATAGCAATTCCTCCCTCGTTCTTAATGTTTGTACTGTACAAAGTGGAAGTACAATAAGACTACGTAATAATTCGCTTGTTTTTTTGCCCTATAAAAAGATATGAATATAATTTCAAACTTTTACATCTTATCAATAATATAAATTGGAAAAAAAAAAAAAAAAAGAACTGCATGAGAAAAAATCTCGCTCGTTTAAACATTGGTGCCCCATTATTATATATATTCATTTAATGTAACATTTAATTTTATTTATATAAAATATTTAAAGAGAGGAACAGAGAGGGAGAGAACAAGAAGAGAGAAAGAAGGAATTACTTTAAAAGCAGCTTTTGTGCTTTTGAAGTCTAAATCTAGCTTATTGTAACATTCTTTGATTTCATCAATATTTACGGCCGCTGATGCTTGTGATGATGATACTTCTGTTGATGCCATGCTGCAAAATAATTCATTTGCAACGAATTAGCCAACAATTGTTACGCAATTTAACATAAGCAAAAGAAAAAGCAAAGAAATTTATGATCAATAAAAATCAAAAAAAAAAAAACAACTCGAAATTATATCATTTTTTTATCGCTTAAGGAATAAATAAAACTCGCAAAAAAAAAAAAAAAAAAAAAAAAAAAGAAAACGTACCGATATGACAAATGCGCCAATAATCTAAAGTTTAACACTGAAGTAAAATTATTTGGACGTAGTAGTATTGCCGGCATTTTATTCTTCTTTTTCTTTTTTGTTTTTCGTTTTTTTTTTTTTTTTTTCCCACAAAATAATAGAAGAAATGTGATCAGTGAGATAAAATTTTAATGATTAATATATTTCAGCTATTTCTATAGCAAATAATCTAAAAAAATTTCGAAAATTTATTAAATTTTCACTTTTTTAAGCAAAAAAAAAATCTCCAATAGCATTAATTTTTATGACTAAATGATATAAAGAATATTGTTATATTCGTCCCTTTTTTTATATTAAATGAAATTTTGAAATATCATGCAAATTTAATTAGTTTAACAATAATGCCCATTGAGATGAAATCTGCCATAATCATTATAATTTATGCATAAGACAATAAAATTAAATAAATAATTGAAGCTCTTATCATTCAATGAAGAAAACTAAGTATAGTAAAATGTTTTATTTCAACAATTAGTAGAAATTTGCAATTCTATAATTGCTATCATTTGATAAAAAAGCAACAAAAAAAAGAAAAAGGAAGAAAAAAAAAAAAAAAAAAAACGATTGCTGTTGGATTTATTACATTGATACAAAAGGTTTTATTTAATTGAAATTTTTTTTTTTAAAAAAAAAAAATTTCTTTCCTTCTTTTTTTTTTTGACTTTAACAGTCCAGTCACCATCGTCAACCCATGTGATACATTTTAGCAGGCGCCAATAGTTTCTATCTGTCTAGACACACATAGGCCACGCAAACACCTCTCCGCATTTAATCTTATGCTAGAATGAAATAAACAATTGCAACTACGCGGACACACGCACATACACACACACACATATATATATACATACATACACACATACATACATACATACACGCAGACACACACACACACACACAGTTTTGTAAGGGTTTTACCTTTCCGATTGTAGTAGTAAGAAGTAATTAGTGATGGAAGCATCACGTGATTGTGTCATTTGTTCTTTCCTTCAAATTTTTATTTCATCTGCGTCCTTTTCGTTCTGTATGCAGCTATGCTACCTGCATGTTAGTATAATATATGTGTGTGTGTGCAATATGTGTATAAAAGTATAATAAATATATGCGCATGTTGGTGTAACACGTGTCTATCAATATAATGCGTGTATATGGCTATAGTAGTACGTGTACATGTATGTATGCATAGGGGTATAACACGTTAATACGTGTATATAGGCGTAATACATGTATATTAATATAATACGTATACGTGAAATATAATGCGTGTATATGGTTATAAACGTGTGTATTGGTATAGTGCGTGTATATGGCTATAATACGTGTGTGTCGGTATAGTGTGAATATAGGTGTATATAAAGGTAGATATGTTGTGTGTATAACATATAAACATGTATGATGTTTTTATGCATATTTAACTGCTAGAAAAAAAAATGATAATTGCGAGAGAGCATGAATGTGTGTATGTATTTACATCCGTTGCAGATATTTTCTCTTCATATTGATAACCAAATAAATCAACTATACTATTTATCAATTATTACTGATAAGCGATGATAAAAAAATGCTATGGAAATTTATGATGATATACGTACCAAATAATTGTTAAAGCTATCAAATTTTATATAGTTGAATCGAATTTGAGAAAGAAAAATGTGACCAAAAAATTTGAGGTTAAAACTTTTAGCATTTTGATGAATATTCTACTATTTTTTTTCTTTTTTTTGCTGTACTTCTTGAGATTTCATTTTGATAATTTCTAAAATTCTCAATGACAATGTCATGAGACATAGACATTACAGTCCATAGTAAACTTCTTTTCTGGGAAACGAAATTTAGCACAAATCAATGTTCAATGTTGTAATCTTTGATTGTTGATAAAATCATCCTTTTGTTCCAACACTGTTCATACAGTTACTATTTATTTCATTTCTGACAGATAGAAAAAGCTCATAAATTAAATAATAGTTTGGATGTTTATAAAAATTAGATGCTCGAACACAAGAAATATTCGTCACAAAGCACCTCGTATTGCGTATTGCGATTGTCCACCAAGGGTCACCTTGCTAGGATAACCGTGCTTGCTTCATTTTCATGATTAATCCATAAAGAAATCCACAATGAACGAAAAGTGCAGGTGAAACGGAATGAAACAATCAGTGCAACCACTCATCTTTCAATTTGTTCTATTTAGCCATGTCAGAAGTTAAATTGTTTATTTGCAAAATTTGAAAAACTGAATTGTTTTATTTTATTTAGAAAGAAAAAAAAAATGAAAAAAAAAAATTCGAATGCCGGAAATGACATTTTTTTTTCCTTTTCTAGACTCAAATTTTTTCAGTTTCAAAAGTTTTTAGTTTGTCAAATTCAAATCTATTTTTGACTAAATTTGATGTGAAATTTCAATTTCGGCAGAAAAATGCAACAAAATAATTCGCTCGTCATCTCACGATTTAAATCAGTTTATATGCATTCTATAACATTTAACACACAAATAATACAACTACATCAATTCTTATACAATTATCCATTTATCATTTTTAAAATTTCAATTTTCACATTTCAAATAGTAATAGAAATGCAACAGTGGCAAAATTTCACTTCCTTCTAAATTTCATAAAATATTTTATGCTGTATATTAAACGTCATTAAATTAGAAAATGGTTTATAATTTTTGTTTTAAATGAACAAACAAATTAATATAGTTAAATACGATTAAAGTTAGAATTATCTGTCTTAAACTTTATTATAATAATAATTCATTTAAGACAAATTACAAAAAAAAAAATAATACTATAAAATTATGTTCATTGAAAATTTTCGAAAATTTTTTGACTGCAATTCATTTCACATATAAACATAACTTCATCAATGAAGCCAATCCTAAAATGACAAATGTCACATTCTACAACAATAGGAAGCATCATTTGCATCCATTTCGTTAAATCCTTCCCAAATCATTTAACCTAAAATTACTTATTCTCACGATTTCATTCACTCAGTCATTATCAATTTAAATGTCCACAATGTACATTCATTCACATACAAATAAGTAAATAAATAAATAAATATATTAGGTATATAGAGACAGACAACAGACAGACAATGCACACACAGACACACACATACAAACATACACGACGAAGATACAGGGGAGTGATCGATTTGAGTATTGATCTGTTGAACAATTTCACTTCATTGGTATATGTGAAATTTTTCACTCACAAATGTTTCTAATGGTATACCTTTTTGCTCATTTATAAATAAACTTTTTTTTAAAGTATGAGTTGGATTTTTACACTTTTTTTGGCAAAATCAATCTAATTAAAATTGAATTTAAATAATTTAGGTTTTGACACTTTTATTTTATTTTCGTTAAAAATTAATTTATAATTTGATTGATTCTTTCTTTCTTTCTTTTTTCTTTCAATTTTTTCAAAATCTGAATACTAATTTTGTAGCGTTGAATGAGGATGATTTTAAATCAGCCTGTAGCACTAGCAGATAATACAACAATGGATCGTTCAAGGTTTGGTCTTGATCTAACACTACAAGATTTGGAACCATCACGTGTACCAATGACTGATGAAGAGGTTTCTAATCCTTTTGTTATTATTTCATACTTTCTACTTTGTAAACAAATCATATGACTTTTCGTCCAATATGAGTCATTATCATCGGGTGCTATGGTTTCTAATTAAATTTATTAAATACTGTAAATTTGGTTTTTTATTTCATCATTTACCTAAAAACGTATGAGATCTTAAAGCCTATACATATTGTAAAGTAGAAAAAGTCACAATAGTTATTTTTTTTTAAAAAAAAAAAAAAAAGAATGTTAATTATGTGGATCATATTAATAAAGGTAGAGGAGAAATATGAATCAATTCGAGAAAGATCAGGTGTGCTTACTATAATGGGTACTGAATACAGAGCACAACTTTCTGATATTGTTGATATCAAAGAACTTGGTCGTGGTTCATTTGGTGTAGTTCGAAAAGCGCATTTTAAACAAACCAAAACACTTATGGCAGTTAAAGTAATTTATTGAAACATTTTGAATCAAGATGTTCTATAAAATAATGTTTCATTTTCTAGTCTGAATCTATTGTAAAAAAAAAACAAAAAAATGTAACAGTGTTTAACAAACAAACAATAAACTCACTAATTCTTCCTTTTTTTCTCAATAGATAATTCCAATAACGGGTAATGCCGAGAATAATAAACGAACGGTAATGGATATGGATGTTATTATGCGATCACATAATTGTCCAAATATTGTACGCTGTTATGGTTGTTTTGTTTTTGAGGTAATATATTTTAAAAAGTAAACAAAAAGGAAAACTTATACTGATGGCAATGAGGTAAATTAATATTACAGTATGATCATTTTAATATATTTTTTTTAAATTCAATCATTTTATTTAAACTTTTACAGTGTAAAAAGATATTAGATGTGGAATATTTTATGAAATTCAAATATTTTTAGCATTTATTTTAGCATTTTAAATAAAATTCAAATAGTTTGTATGTGGAACCATTATTTTAAATGGAACAGTAAATAATTTTTTTTTTCTTTTTTTTAACGGAACTAGTAAATTTACAACATATTCTTTTATTGTCTTTGCTTTTTTGATGGAAAAAATTTTTTTTAAGAAAAAAAGTAGAAAACTTAAAAGGGACCAAAAAAAATTTGTTTTTTTTTTTTGTTCGAAAAGTGTATATCTAGTCAGAGGTGCGAATATGCATGGAGTTGATGTCGATGTGCTTGGATAAGCTGCTTAAAATAGCGCTTCATTTTCCGGAAATTATTCTTGCTAATATAACCAAATCAGTGTTGTTAGCATTGGAATATCTTAAGGAAAAAGAGGTTTATTAAAATTTATTCCAAATGTGTTTTTTTTTTTTTTTTTTTTTAATAAAAAAATACTATTGAGCGATCGATTCAATCGTATATATGTTTTACTTCTTAATGATTATTCAAATTTTGCAAATGTATTTTCTTTTTTCTTTTATAATTAATAACGGAAATATGAGTTTTCTATTTGTTTTTAAATATATCACTTCTAATTTATTTTAAATTTTGAAATGAAAAGTTGTATATTTTGTTTGAAATAATTTAAGCTCATTTAATCACTTTTTTTATTGTATATTTTCAGAACATCATACACCGTGATATTAAACCATCCAATATTTTAATCGATCATAGTGGTACAATCAAATTGTGTGATTTTGGTATTGCTGGCCGATTAATTGATTCTAGACGAGCAGAAACTAATACCAAAGGCTGTACTGCTTACTTAGCGGTTCGCTTTTTTTTTTTTTACCTTAAGAAGATTTTTAATTTTAATTTACATAATGTGTGTTTCACACATTATACTATTATTGGTTGAATGAATAGTAAATTATTTTTTAAAAAAAGTGGAAACTTATCATTGATGTAAGAAGTTATAAACATTTTTAATCATCTATTAGATGAATATTTTTTTAGTACTCCTTCTCTCCCTCACTCTGTTTTTCTCTTCCTTCCTCCGTCTCTTTCTTTCTATTTTTTCTATTAATTAGACTTTATTATTTTCATAAGTTTTTATAAATTAAAATTTTTTTGTTCAAAAATAAAAGGCATCAAGTTAAATGTAATTTCAGCCTGAACGTGTAGCAAGTAGTGATTGTGAATATGGTGTACGCGCTGATGTTTGGAGTTTAGGCATAACACTTATTGAGTTAGCCAAAGGAATTCATCCGTATGACGGTTGTGCAACAGATTTTGAACTTCTTACTAAAATTATAAATGATCCACCACCACGACTTACACCAGTACAACAATTTTCACAGTCATTTTCAATATTCATTGCTAGATGTCTCGTGAAACGTCCAATTGATCGTCCAAATTACCACGAACTTTTGGTTCATCTTTATTTATTTATTTTTTTGAAATATGTTTTCGAGAAATATTATATTTGCTATTTATTCTTATATTACAGCCAAAAATACTATTATCATAAAGTTATGTTCAAAAATAGACTAGATTAAGCTTGAGGAAAACAAAATTCATTTAACTATATTTATAATGGATAGAAGTCAAAAAAAAAAAAATGAATAAATTTTTTTTTTAAATAATAGTTCTCTTTTTGTATGAAACTTATTGTAATGCTTACAAACATATCAAAAATGAAATTACTTTATATAAATATTTAACTTATAAAGATGTAATACTTTTTTCTTTTTTTAATTTCAGGAAGATCCATTCATTAGAGGAAATACAACAGATACAGCAGCAGTAGCTAAATGGTATAGTACGCTATGTGCATGATTTTAATTTCTCATTTCTTTCATGAATTGTTTATGAATTTTTGTTAGAAAAGTATTTTGGAATTTCACTCAAATTCAAAATTAATAAGAAGAAAAATTTCTTTTTTCTTCATTAATCAAAAAATTTTTTAAAAATAAATCTAATGCAAAAATCATTATCAGTTTATGCATTTTTTCAAAAAGAAAAAGAAAAATTATAATTTTAAGATGTATTCATTTATGTATGATGTTCACATTTCAATAAATGGATAAAAATTATAATATTATTGATAAAATATGATGCTGTTTTACTTGTATATCCTAGTCATTGTGTTATATTTAGAAATTTCAATTTATATATTATGAATACTAGCGAAATTAAACATTTGAAGTGTTTGATTTCTCAAGTGTTATTGATATATTCGTTAAATTATATTTGTTTTAGTTAAGAATTTGTTTTAAAAAAAAAGAAGAGAAAAAATTATTTGTAGGTATTTATCCTTCGATATTATTATAGCTATCATTGTTTATTTTTTTTTGTCTTTCATATTTTCTCTTTTTTCTTTTCTTCTAAATCACTCTAATCGCATACTCTTTCTATTTATACAAATTTTTGTTTTTTATATTTATATAAATAATTCATAGTACTATTAATAAAAAAGAAAAAAAAGTGTTGAATTTTGAGTAATATGTTTCGAATAATATCTCAAATGTTTAAGTGAAAGTTTTCATTCATTGTTGAAACATTAATTTGTTAATAACGGATTTTTTAATTGTTTAAAAAGAGGAAAAAATTGTTAATTACTAATACAGTAATTAAAATATATACAATGAGAAATTTCGTTAATTACATTTCATTTTTGCTCGATGGACAGTTCATATTAGAATCATTCATATTTCCACTATCGTAGAATAACTGCAATAATTATTTAGAAATATTCCAGTAGTTTTAGAAATTAATTTGCTTCAAATTAAACATCAAAATTTTACACAACAAACTACAGCATATAAATTGAAATGATGTTAGAAGTGAAGGCAGTCGAATTATCATTAATCATTCATTTGAGAATTTCCGGCGGTAAATTTCTTTCATAAGATCCAAAACTTTAAATTATAAATTACTGTACTATTAAATAATTTGTTGTCGTATATAATTTTATGTTAATAAATTCCATTCCATAGAGAAAAGGTGTGTTACCTCATTTTTATTCATATCACTGTTGGATGATAGTAAAATTTTGGAATCCATTGGACATAGCTGATATCTTCCTTGCCCATCATATTGTAAAAGATGAGTGTGAAATCGCCTAAGATTGAATATTTATTCAAAATGGCTTGTAAATTTTAAACTAAGATTTTCCTCTCCTTTTTTGTCTGATAAAAATACATCTACAAATGATTTAGGTTTTTTTTTTGAAATAATTTTTTCATTTTTAGCTTCATAATATAAATTATGGATTTAGTAAATTTATGTAGCATAAAAAATTTTAATTAGAAAGTTAAAATTTTCTCAATGAATTGAAATAGGAAAAAAAAAGGCTGAATTATTAGTATTATTTTACCAGAGACTTGGTCGATGTGATACAGAGAGAAGTGTAAAGCCTGCATCTTTCATTGCTTGATAAATTAATGCTTCAATATCTATCGATATTGCACTGGTGCACTCATCAAGTAGAGCATATTTTGGTTGATGATAAAAAATTCTTGCTAAACCTAATCGTTGCTTCTCACCACCTGATAAGATATCAATCCATTCACGTTCACTTTCAAAACCTGTAGTTTTTCATTTCATTTTAAGGTATTGAAGAAAACTTATTTTTTTTTTTTTTAAACAAAACCGTTGCTTTTGTCGTTTACTATTAAAGTTTTTTTTTTTTTTTATATACTAATATTGCCTTTCATAAGATTATTTAAATTACAAACCTCCTTCACGCTCAACAATTTCACTCAAATGTACCGTTTTTAAAATTTCCATCAAAGCATTATCAGTAATACCTTTTCTCCGCATATCAGCCAAAGTATCCGGATAAATGATCTGTCATTTTTTAAAAAAAAAGAAGTGTATTGGTAATGAAGTACAGTAGTAATAAGAGTTTAAGTAAAATGATAAATAATAAGCAATGAAAGGTAAATAGTATAATAAATATTGGAACTTAATTTTTCACTATTTCTGGTAAAAGTAATGTAAAATAAAAAAAAAACAGATCAAAGATTGAAATGTATAATCAGTTGATAAAATTATATTTATTAAAATCAACATCTAATACTATTATTGACGTTTACTACTTTACTAAGGTAATTTAAACGTTCTCTGTCATCATCATCATCTTCACAACCTTTCTTTTTTTTTTTTTTTTTTTTTTTTTTTTATGATTGAAATAGATTAAATAAAGATTGAGAATTAATTTTTAAACTTTCCATATAGCAGATATGCTTACTTATGCTATTACTAACCTGTTCTCTTAAATTTCCAAATGTCATATACGGTCGTTGTGGTAAATAATACATTTCTGCTTTCGGTGGTAATTCCAATCGTCCACGATATACTGGCCATAAACCACCAAGAATTCGAAATAATGAACTTTTACCACAACCATTTGGACCAGTAATAAATAAATGCATACCATCATGAATCTATCAATCATACATGATATTAAGAAAAAAAAAAAGTTAAATTTATAATTTCGTAAAAATTTTTGAATTGATAAAAAATATAGTCAAGTATTTTATTATTCTTTTCTCCCACTTTCTTTCCTTTTTTCTCTCTCTTTCTCTCTTCAATTTTTGCCCATTTAACAACAATATCAATTTTTTCAAGATGTTCATTTCTCGTAAGATAAGCGTAAAATAAGATGAAATTGCATATTTTAATTGTTTTGAATTTCCAGTTAGAAATAATTAAATGAAAATTTCTCCTTTTATCATCATTTATAAATATCTTATCATTTTTCCGGAAAATTTTTGCGTGCATATTAGCCTAATTGTTTTGCCGAAAATTTTTGAAATGCAAATTTTTTAGCACAACAAATCGTTTATTCTCTGAAATATATAGCCAAAGAGGTTGGAAAAATTAAAGAGTGAAATATTAGTGAATGCTTTAAAATCTCTCATTCTTTATAACCAAACAAATGAAATTTTAAAATTATTTAATTAAATTATGAAAGTATGTAAATCGCCAGAGGAGCGTTTAAATTCAAATATTTCCCACAAACCTCGATGTTAAAATTGTTGACAATGACATTACCAGTTGGAGTAACAATTGGTACATTACATAATCTAACAATGCCATTTGTTTGAAGAATTTGACCTATAAATTTTTAAAACGTTTTTTAGAGAAATAAAATAAACAATGTAACGATTAGAAATTAATATAGTCTATGATTTTTTGCAATATTACAGTTTTTTTTTTTCTGCGAGATTTTAGATTAGATTTCAAGCGATAATTTCAATTTTATAAATTAGTTGCCTCGTATTTCATGTGTATTAAACTCTTCCATTGCATTATCATTCATATTTTCCAAATTCCTTTTTCTAATAAATTTTTGTTGTTTCATGTCCTCAAAAACTTTGAACATATGATAAACACGTGATGCATATCCAGCTAGTTCTATCACCTAAAAGTAAATAATATAAATTTTAGAATAAATAATGAATCTGTTATAATAAAAATTATATAAAATTATAAAATATGTCAGAACAAAAGAAAAAAGAAGCCTTCATGGAAATATTTTTCAAACAATCTTTTTATTTGTAATATTTTTTCAAGCATATAAATGATTATTTTATGTTATTTGCATACTAAAAAGAGTAAAGATTTGAATTTATCAATAAAAAGAACCTCTTTATGGGAAATCATTAATTTTTCCGCAGCAGCTGCTACAACATTCATCAAATTTTTAGCAGTCATGAAATTTCCTGTACGATCACCCACTTTTATTCCAGCTAAAATCTTAAAGATAAAATAAAAAACAATAATCAATATAATATAATTAATCTCATTGTAAAATCACATTGTAATATTATCATACGAAATTGTTTTTTTTTTTTTTTTAAGTATTACTATCTTAAGAAATTTGTTGATGCATAACAATTGATAAAACTTACATAATGTTTTGGTAGGCTTTGTTGTAAATAGCGGGGAAGCAATCATAATCATACCCGTAGCTGTCCATAAATATTTTAGTAAATATTGTTCCACCATAATATATGATATTTTCTTCCGGCAAATTAAGGATGCGTGACGTTGAATGTTATTAAATGCTTTTAGCAGACAAATTTTTTCGGTCTAAAAATCTTTAATTATTTGAATTACTTCTTACACTTTGCTAATTTTTAGCTAATGAATTTTCTTTTTTTACTTTGAAATAATGATAATAAACCAATTCAAAACATAAAAACTTAATATATATAAAAGCAAATAATATTAGCAATTTGAATACTTTATAATAATACTCATTTTAAAATGTGAATAAGAGAAGTTGTAACAAATTAAAGTCAACTATTATTAAATATTCAACTATGAGATATTTTATTCAATGACCTCATGCCCTCTGTAAAGTGCAACTTCTTCGGAATTCGAAATGAGACGTGAATGTAAAAATCGTAATTCGCCTTTCTTTTTTGACTCCTCCGAAAGTAATTCGCTAAAGCTGTAATAGGAAAAAAATTGAATAATAAAACAATGGAAAATAAGTAATAATCAAAAAATTTTCACTTATTTGTTTCTTTTTTTTTAATGAAATTTTGCAGGAAGAAAATACAAGAACAAAAAAAAAAAAAAAAAAGAAAGATTAAAATGCTCACTTAGGTGATATGTATCGTAGCAGTCCAGCAGTACTCATTAAAACACTTGGACCCATGATAATCAAAAAATATATACCTGAACCTAATTTTGCTTTCCATAATTTATATATTAGTGTTAATCTGAAATTTAAAAATTGTTGAATGAACCAACAATAAAAATTAGTGATTTTTGTTTAGTAATTTTGAATATTTTTAAAAATTTGTTAAAAATAAATGGAAATTTTAGACATTATATGAAAAAGAGGAGTACAAAAAAAAAAAAAAAAAGCACCCCACGAAAGAAATATCAAAAAGTGGTTTAAGGATTAGTGAAAAGAGGCGCGAAATTGCTTGACAAAATGCCATAATGTCATCTGTCAAACATTGATCAACATTTTTCAGTCGTTCATCCAAGCTATTTACACGATAATATGTACAATCCTTAAAAAAATTTTCTTATACTATACAAATTTGAAAAATAAGAAAAAAAATTTTTTTTTGTTTTATCAAAACAAGAAATTGCTTTAGAAGTATTTAAATTTTAAATTTAAAAATTAGAGATTTGAATTTGAAATTATTTTATTCAGATATCTAATATGTATCTAATATTGATTAATGAAAAGGGCATTTTTAGACATATAATTTGTATGATGCGTTAAATTATGAACATATGTACTTTAATTGATAAATTTAGTAGTTTAAAATGATTTATTGATTTTTCAAGGAGGAAGGTTAAATTTAAAGCAAACTGATAAATATTTATTATAAGCATATTGAGTGAGGCGAGCGCGAAATGCTATCGCAACATAATCTTCCATGAATCTGAAATGAATAATTAAAAAATTTTTTCAATCTGAAATTAATTGTTTACATTTTTATATATTAAGAAATTATTACAAATTATTTTTTTGCAAGTTTATAAATCAAAAATTCAAGAACTTACATAACATTTCAAATTTTAATTTCATCATTACATAGGAAAAAAAATGATAATTTATACAAATAAGCTATAAGACAAAAACATATTTGAAGTATACGAACTGTTTGTATTTTCTTCTATTTCTTTGAATAGTTAATTAAGTAAAAAAGATAATAATTTAATAAAAAAAAAATTGTTGTTGAATTACATTAGATTAGAATGACTTTCAAGAAGATAAATTTTATCAATGGATTTAATCAGTTAGTTTACATCACTAATTAAATAAGTATATTCAGTGTGCACTGATCATTTAAAGGAATGAATTAATTAAAAATCAAAATTATTGAATAAATTATTATTTTAATGATTACAATTGTGATCCAAAGTAAAAATAAAATGCCGAAAAATTTTAATGATCAATGATCAAACTTGTAAATAAAAAAGACAACAACATACTTGATCATACTATTGACAAATGTAGCAGGTACTGCTATCAGGAACCATCTGATAAGGTATCGAAGAAATGCAGCAGATTGTTTTTCAACAACTGTTCGAATTAAATGACCTTCGAGAGATGCTACATAAATAGACAACAATGTCCTTGACAGCAATACAACAGAGTAGAGTGCTATAATTTTCTCTACTTTTTTAAAAATATTATTGAAAATTTATATTAAAACATAAATTTTAATCCTATTGAAATATTTCTTTTTGAATTAACTAATCAGTGATAGTAAAATCGTATTGATAAAAAAATACTCTTTACTCCGAAATTAGTCAAATTAATCAAAAATATATCTTAATGAAGAAAACGGAAAAGGAAAAAGAAAGTTGCTAAATTTACCTATGAGAAATGTTTCTTTACAGTTGAAATGTGGAATAATAATTTTTAACAAAAAATGAAGCTTGTGCAAAAGCCTTATATTCATAGTATTATACCATTTTGAAGACTTCCAATTTTTCACACTTTTTTGTTTCAAGATTGTTGATGATGGAACTATAAGTGTATTTATTAATCTTTACAGCTTAAAAAAAGGGTAATTTTAAATTTTCAGATGTATTATTTTCAATTTTAAAGTAATTAAAACAATTATATTCTCATTTCAAATATTAAATATGAAAATAAATGGATATTTCAAATAGCTCTTTCAAAGACTAATAAAATTAATACTTATCATTTTTTTTTTTTCCTAATTTTAAATTAAAAAAAAAAATTAACCTCCTTTTCTCACAATATTCACAAATGCAGCAACAAAAAGAATTGAAGCAATTGTTGTAGCGCCATAAAACAAATGATTCATTGAAGTATTTCCAGAAACAGGCTGGAATTTTGATAAAGCAGCCATCTTTGTGTATAAATTTCATACATGTATATGCACAAACATATACAAACACACTTTTTGCGCCGAATAAATCAATACACCATTTTGCTGCAATAATAATAATAATAATAATTAGTAAAACAAAAAAAAAAAAAAAAAATAACAATAATAATTGCATGATTCATAGAAAATTTTGAATTTACAAATATTTTTAAACAAATTAATTCAACAATTAAATGATATATAGAAAAATGAAGTAATACATGCTTTAGTAACATTTTCCATAGTAAATGAATTTTATATGACTAATTGTTGGAAGATTGTTGAATGAAACAAAAATTAAAATTATCATTAGGAAAAGAAAAAAAGAAAATTTCTATATTTTAAATTTCCACAAAGTGAGAACTTTCACACTTTTTAGATGATAAAGAAAAAAAAAATTATTATTGAATAATTTCACAAAAAAAAAAAAAAAAACAATGTTTATTTTGTTATTTATTTATTCAATTTTTTTTTTTTTTTTATCAGCGATAAATAAAATGAAATGTAAGGGTAATGTTTAGTTGTAGCTAGAAGAAATTTTATCATCGGCAATGAAATATATATATATATGAAAACAAGAAGAATGACAGGTACATACAGTATAAGGGACGAAAACAAGTTTGATAAGCCTTTATGAATGCAAGGACACTCTCCGTTCATCATTTTTATACACAGTTATTTCAAAATTGCTCTCTCTCTCTCTCTCTCTCCTCTCTTCCTCTCTGTCTCCCTGTTTTCTCTCAAAAATAATAATTGTTTAAACTGTAGCAGTTAAAGAAAAAGAAAATGCTTAAGAAAATTTTTAAATGTACATTAATTTGTAAACATTTGAAAAAGATTAGTCTCATACATTTTACAATGATAATTATTAATAAAATAACGCTATGGAAGCAAAAAAAAAAAAAAAAGTGAAAATTAAAATAAATAGCTTAAACGATTCAAATAATAATTTAAAAGTTAATAATACAAAATTCAAAGTTCCAATAAATGCTGCCGCATTCTTCATTTATTTTATCATTTTGTTTCTTTTTGCTCAATGTACTAATGACATATTTTATTCAAATTTTATCAGATAAACTTTTAGAACCAGTTTTAACATTCTTTATTCATTGAAATATCGTTTATTCAATATGTATACACTGCTTTGTTTACTAGCTGTTTTTTATATAAAATTATTTCCAAAACTGGAATACATGTATGATAAATTCATTAGACGGAAAGTTAAAAAAGAACTAGATTCTTTGTATATATTTTTGCTTTAAATTCATTTAAAAATTAATTAGATACAAAGTAAAAATTGGTCCCAGAAGAAAAAAAAAAAGAATGCACTTTGGTGTGAAATTGCTTAAATTCATTTAAAAATATGACCAAAAAAAAAAAAAACAAAAAAAAAAAAACAAAAAGAAAAAACAAAAGGAAAGTTTGAATTAAACATTAATTTATTTCTGTATAGTAAATCATTTAAATTACCTAATTCGTTTTTTATTTATTTATTTATTTTTTTCTAAAAAAGAAGCATCAGGAGACTCTCCGTTCATGAAATTAATTTATTTTTGATTAAATGAATTTCGAAATGTTTTAATATCACAAGAATCACACTATAAATAATAATGAAAAGGAAAGTCAAGTACAGTGTTATAATCATTTCATTGAAGTGAATCAATTCATTATGGAACAATGTTAAAATTCAGTTTTTCAAAATTCATGTAATTCAGTTAATTTAGGAGTTCCACTTCATTCATTGTCTTCAAAATAAAAGTGATACAATCTTCTTTATTTATCACTTTGTACGCAAACAGAAAAAGGAGAGAGTGGAAAAGAGAGAAAGAGAGAAATCAAATATCAAATCTAAAGGAATTATCTAGAGAAAAATTCATAAATAATAGTTTGTTGTATCTGATAAATGGATTTCAAATTTTGAAAGTAAGAAAAAGTTTTTTGTTGGATTATTTTAGTACAGTTTTGTCATAATCGTTTTGGTTATATAACATTTTGTTGCTTTTATCCTTCTAAATGTTAATGCAATTAATTAAACGAGAAGTACGTAATTAAATGTAATTAAAGAAGAAGTGCGCATCATTACTTCTCGTTTGTTGACACAATTTTATCTATCTATTTTCCTTTCTTATTTGAATTACTATTGTTTTGATGATTGGTCAAATTATCAACATGAAAGTGAAATTTGTTAATTAAAATACTGAAATCGTTTTATGATTCGCTTTGGTTTCAGGCTTATATAATTGTTTAATGTTTTAAATTTTGTCTATAAAATTACGATTTTAAACTTTGTTAAATTATGTTGCACACATGCGTATTAAATTTAAAGATACTAGAATTGCAATTTTTTCATCTAAACAGATTAATTAATGATCGATTTTTATTTATAGCATATAGTATTGTCACTAGAATTCATTTCCTACAGTTTAAATTAATTACGCAATAATTAATTTGGGATCAGTCCTTAACTTGTTTTTAATTAAAACAGAAAGAATTTAAGTTTGTTTATCAGCAACTGAATGTAAAATTTCCATCAAAAAAAAAAAAAAAAAAAAATAACATTTATGCTTTAGCAGCTAAATGAAAGTATTTGCTTTTTTGTATCAGATTTCTCAACCGTATCAACTGTATACAGTTTGGCATAAAAAGCAAATATTTATCATTTTTATCAATTAAATCTAAGAGATATATGAGACAACTGTTAATATATTACTTCCAATTAATGCTAGAAAAAAATAATTGATGAAATGATACATTGTAAATTTAAGAACATACAACAATTTCAGAGTGTATTCAAGATATGTATCAAAATTATGTAATAGTTTCAAATATTATCCAAATTGATTTATTTCAAGATCAGATTTTTTTCAGAAATAGTTAAAAAGGTTAGGGCAGAAAAAATTTTTTGCTTTTACACAATAACTGAAGAAAGCATAATATTATATTGCTTACTGTAAAAGTTCAACTGGAAAGGATGAAACGGTAGCTAATAACAATATTAACTGAAATAATTGATATTGTTATGGTGTTGTGTAAATACTTGGAAGAACAAAAATATTATTTTTGTCCTATAGTTTTGATGATTTGTGAGGATGTACATAATATAGCAAATACAAATGATTTGCAACAAGTCTTGTAAACCGGAACCGGTAAGTCCATAAAGGACTTCTACTGGAACAAATACCGGACAACTACCAAATAAAAGAAACACCAATAAAGCAATAAAGAAAAACTATAAAAGGTGGTTGAGTGAAGAGGAGCGGATAAAATAGAGGATACATGTGAACGGTCAAATATGAAGAATTTGCTTTTGTGGTACAAGGACTAGTCTGTCAAATGTGCATCGTTACATGTAGTAGAAATGAAACCAAAAATATATGGCTTAACCTTTGAGGTTGTTCTCCTATCCCAAGCTTCCATTTTTCATTTCATAAGCACTGCATTGTCATCTCACATTGATCAGCAATCACTGAAGCATTTCCAAAAATTTTATACTATTGTATTTTTCATATCGTTAGGCTTCCTTAAATTACATTTTAGTTCTTATGGTATGTACCAAATTATAGGCAATATGAATTCATAATAACTGCTGATGAGTCGGTGGCTATGAGAAATTTAATCTTTTATTACCGGAAGATTTTAACGTAGTTCAATCTTGTTATAGAATGTAATTGCATCAAATAGTTCAACAATTATATTAACATCAGATTGAGATTCACCAGTTGTATTCAACAGTTACAAGTTTCGAAATTTCCGTTTTCATATTTTCTTTGCATTACAAAATTATAAATATTAAAGCAAATTTTCCAAATTTAAGTTTGATGCTTCGCATAACAATTTCGGGAAATTTACAGTGATTGTAGAAACTTCATTAGGCGCAAATGGTTCAGAACATAACGTTAACAACATTCGAACATATTCAACTTTCTAAAAACGCTAAGACGGTTAATGTACGTGTTGTAAAGATTTGAAATTGAAAACATGAAAAAAATAAACCAGGTATGTTAATGACCAGACGAGTGCTCTACTTTGATGACGCGATAATTCTAAAATTATTTCTTGTCTGGAGCAATAAATACAACTGTTCAAAAAACATCTAATTTCATAAATTGATTAATAAAAAGTAAAAAACTCGAGCTCCCACTTCAAATATCTTACTGGAATCCAAAATTTACAAACTTTCGGATAACATTTTCTTCAAATCGTTAAAAAAAACTGATGACGATAAGTACATGGGAAGCTGTAATCTATACTAAACAAGGAATGGAAGTTCGGGATTACATACAACATAGTTTCCCTAACAATTATCCGTTCCAAGCATATTTCAGGCAGAACTGAATTTCGGCTTAAAATGGATAAATTGATGATAATGAAATAAAAATGAATTTGAGGAAGAAATTAGACGCTGAACCCTTTCCCATACGAAGTTAGAATTTACAGAAAAGAAAAATTAGTTCATGACGATAAGGTTTACTCAAACACCTGAGCAATGATACCAGAAAGAGATGGGTCACATCGATAGGTAGAAAAAATTCCGAATTTACGGATGTTTGAGATCAAAATCGCCACGCTTTTTGCAACAGTTTCAAAAATTAGTTCAAAAACAAAGGTGAATGATAACAGCAGCCTTCTTTCTCATCAAAATATTTGCGAAAATTGCTCCTGCCAAATGGTTAGCTTATCGACTAAGTTGGAGGAATATTACGTTAAAAGAAAATGGAAAATGGAGCTTCATTCAATCTCACTCTTTCCATTGAAAAACTATGCATGTTAGTAGAAAACAAAACAAATTACAGGTAAAGTAGTTTAAGAACTGCTCGAGCCCAAAAGCGGAGTAAATATGTGAGCACATATGAGAATTTACAAAGCATAACAAAATTACTAAAATACCAAACATAAGAGATATTTCACATGCAAAATACGAATGCATTTTTATTATGTGATCCTGTTGCATGCTAATGGAATGCAAAGAAATGAAGGAAAAT